GTAATTTTTAAAACTACGGCTTTAACTTCTAAAACTTGTTTATATGGTAATAAATTAGAATAATTTTGCATGGTTAGCACTTAACATTAATGATTATTTTAAATTATTTGAGTTAATATGTTATGTAGAAAAATTATGATCTTTGGTGAAACCCAGAATACAGGACACTTTGGTTCACTAAAAAATAGATAGAGTGGCAGTTCAGAAGAACTTTAGTAAAAACATTGTTTTAGTTATTTCCTGTGTTATATAATTATGTTCATTTAAAAATAATTACTGAAAATTATTTATGATTTTCAGAAGTAAAAATGTATTTTAAATATTCTTTTTTATAAATTTTTAAGTTTTACTGGGTTGAAATTCAGATAAAAACTCAGGAAAAATAGTTAAAGTAACAAATATTTCAGGAAATTATTAAACAAAAATTATTTTAAATTCATGTTGCCCACTAAAACTATTTTTAACAATTCTACTTTCAAAAAACTATTTTTATTTCCATTAAATAAGAAAATTTGTCAGAAATATTGTATTTACTTTTGTAAGAAACTGATCAAAGAAGATAGCAGCTACCCAATAAGTTTCTGTAACCCAATAACTTCTTTCCCAATAAATGTAAAGAAAGTTATTAAAATCCAAAATCACATTTTTTTCAATGAATTATGACGAAGAACAAAATTATTACAGGCATAATTTTTTAAGATTGTTTCTGTATGTTAATGTCTCAATATTCTATAATGAATTCAGAATGTGTGATGCAGTGGTAATAAAAAATATTTCTTATATCCAGCAAATGTTGATAAAGCATGGAGATGATATAATTCTTTCTTTTTTTTTGGAAACCCGTTCAGGAAATAGCAAATTTTCTACTGCGCAGTTACTGTTTGCTGTATTCTTTGGTAACTTTAAATTTCTATCAGTTCTTATGTCATATTTAATTTTTCAACATCAGTAATAAGTGCAAAATTAAAAAAAAAAAAAAAAATTCATAGCTAATTGAGTATATTAAGAATGATTATTTTTTATTTTCTACCGATATATTATTTAATTAATTTATTGATCTCTAAAAATGCATTTTTCGTTTTAAATAAAAAAAAAAAATTTAATGCGACAACTGAATTGGATAACATTTATTATTCAATGTTGTTTCTATTATTATTACATGGTTTCATCGCACCCCATATCTTGCAATTTTGACCATTGCAAGATATGGGGCGATACCAGAATACGATGGTCTTTCTTTCCAAAGCTTCTTCTTCTTTTTTTTCTTTTTCTTTTCCTTTTTTTCTAATTTATATGAAATAGTTACTTTCAAATCATTGTTAAAAAAATCTTGAATGCTGCAATGCTTGTCGTTTGTTTTGTAGGAAATGAAAGAAAAAACTAAGAAACAAAAATATTTTGTATACTTTTATAATTAGATAATAAATAAAGACTGAAAAAGTGGACCAACGAACCTTAGTTCCCTTATACTGTGATTGAAATAGTTACCATCTAAATCTGTTGTCAGAATATCAATCTCTGTTGTCACAATATCTGTTGTCAGTTTCAGTTTGCAAAGGAATCGATACGAATCTAACTAAAAATGCAACACGATATTTGGCTGCATTTTGCTATGAGGTTTTACTGCAATTTCGATAGAAAAAAGAGAAAACCCAAATTTCTTTATTTGATAAATTAATAAGCATAGTGCGGTGTTATAATATGCGATGATAGTATAAAAATTCCAAATACAAATTATTAAAGGTTCTTCTTAATTTTAGAATTAAACCAACTTAATTTTAGAATTAAACCAACTTGAGTGATGAATTTAACAGATTTTTATGGCCTTAAATTTTAGCCTCTCTGGACCGTTTTAAGCACGTCACCAAGTACGGGCTTGTTCATCAAAAACAAAACCATCTAAGTAAACAAATTAAGATAATCACAATCGCTTGATTAATATCTTCCATTATTTCACCAAAATTCTAACATGTGAGGTAATGATATGTAGTAAAAATTGTTTCCAATTAAAAAAATAATAAAAAGAAAACAAGTTAACAAATTCGCTAATTTACTCAATTATTATGTAAATTTAATATTATTTAATAATTATACCAACTGTATATAAAAACTAACCGACATTATTACGTCACATTATTATGTCGGTAAAAGCCAGGGGCTCTAGTAAAAGCGGATGAAATATCTGTTAAATTATCTAAATATTAAATTTTCTGAAAAATTGAGATTAACACTTTAAGTTTTGTGACAATTGGTTTGAAAGTTTTAAAGAAAATAATTTATAATTAATCAGATATAACTTTCATCTCTTTTTATTATTAATTGCGGCTGGCGTTGTTCAGTTTATTTGTTCGGAACGATTTGAAGAATTAAATATAGNTCAAGATTGTTGAATTATCTAGAATTTCCTGTTAGTTTCAAACAGAAATTAAGCAAGGACATAATGAGAGTTTCTTTTTGATTGTTCGTGATTTCATTCACGAAGTACTCACAAAAAACTCGTAACACTTCTATTTTGGCACTTTTTCAAGTTTTTTTTTTTTTTTGAAATTTTATTTTGTTTGTAGTTCATTGAAGAGGTGTGTTGTTGACGTAAATAGGGAATGATTTCTATTTTTTACTTACGTTTAACACTCTTGAAACTGTAAGGAAACCGCCTACATATTTTGTTGCTACTCCACTGTCTTGAACCTCTTATATGAAAGGAATTTTTCTTTTCTTTTTGTTCACTCATTTCCTAACATCTTTAAATCCGGAACTTCGGCGCTGATTTGCCTTTCAAGCTAAAGTTTTTGAAGGCAAAGCAGGATCTTTCTTTTTCATCTAACAAGATAAGTTGCTGTTATTCGATGCAGTTCTTTATAATTGTAGTATGAATAAAATGATATTAATAACTGGGTGGATCTCGTTAACTCAAGCGAATTGCTTTTAATTTGAGCCAGTAGCTTAATTCTATCTAATTTACATTTAATATCAAATACAATTCTTTCTGCATCTGAGTTAATTGCTTTTTTTTATTTTATTATTTTTATTGCTAAGCTTTGCAAAGGAAAAAAAATAATCAGGATCTCTTTTATTTCAATTATCAAATTAAGACAGTTTTATGAACAACCGGATTCTGGTTGTAGTTAATTTTTTTAAGTTGCGTACCTACAGCGAGTTAATGAGGGGGGGGGGGAGGATTTTGAAAATTAATGTACTTTAAAATGTCCGAATATTTGTTTACTCTACCTGATATTTGCATTTACGCCTCTTTTTCATGCTTTTAGATAAGTACCGCTAAAATATTTTGATTTTTTTTTTAAAAATTATTAACTTAGTTGGAATATTTTTTTTTGGATTAATTTAATGGAAAATCATCTAGGAAAATTAATTCTCACAGAACTTCAGTTTTTTAAGTATAGTTTTTACCCGCAATTCTTTTTCTTTTGGCTTTTCTCTCGATATTAAAAAATCGTTAGAACCGCTTTGAAGAACTTGAAAATATGAAGAAATTGAACCATAAGAATTTAAAATTGTGAAGATGTATAGAAAAACGTGAAAAGAACAATGGAATGAGAAATTTTAACATTCGGTAGTTTCGAGTATTAAATGATAAATTTATAGTGTTCAGGGGTATGTTTAGAAGAAATTTGGGTCCGTTAAAGGACCCTTCACAAAATATCTTTTTATGAAAACGGACCCTTCACAAAATATTTTAACTTAAAAACAAGATTGATGTAAACGAATTAAGTTTTGTCTTCGGCAGGCGCTTCTTCCAGTAGTCGTCCGAAATGAATATTCTCTGTTGAGCAGTATAGGCTAAATACTAAATATTTGTATGCTGCATCTCTAATTTAGTAGCAGCAATTGCTGTTTATTTTTGAAAATTCAATTTTTTAATTGTAATTTAACATTGTTGAGCATAATCTTGTATCTATTTACAATTTAAAAACTCGTTGAAAATTTTTTTTGCAATAACAGAACCCTATTTGCTCAAATTCACAAAAGTGGACCCTGGTTGAAAGAATGTGACTTAACGTTTATTCTATATTCACATATTACGCTTAATTTTTTCACAATTTTGCAAAAACGGACCTTTTACAAAATGTCTGGACAGACTTCTGGTGTTAAAAAAAATACTTCACTGACCGATTTGCCGCCCACACACAGAATTGCTATTACATAGTTGAAATTTGACGTTCTGAAAAGGCTATTTTTTATTTGTAAACTCTGTTTTTTTCTTCTTTTTCTTCTTCTTCTGATTTGTTTGAAAGTTATTGCAACTCTAAGTGCTTCTTTCGCGACTGTTTCCTCACCTTTTTGCATTAAACGATGACCATATATCTTTTATTTAAAAGAAAAGTATTAAAATTTATTTCTCTTACTCGGAGAATTTTCTGTCTATATTAAAAAGTCGTTAGATCAGTCGCTGTTTTAGATGTTTAATTTAAGATTTTATTTTGTTTCACTGCGTAAAAAATACAAGGCTTAAAAAATTGAGAATACAACAAAATTTACATTTATTTTGATTGAATACAAAATTTTAACATTTACCAGTTTGCTAGAGGATTATTAACTGTAACGCGAATAAAAAATTGCTACGAAATTTAATCTGCAGTCCACTGAAATGCAAGTACAGTGTTGAAAATTAATGTGCTGAATGTGATTTGGTTCATTTTTACAATTTAAGAGCTATTGTATTAGTTAATTTTTTTTAATTAATGGCAATCTATAATACAATTATTGACTTCTTTCAACAATGGAGATGTCTTTTAGTAATGGTGAAATGATATTTCTGATATTGAAAAAGAAGAGTTGTTAAATATCAGTAGTTTTTACATATTCCAGTTTTATCTTATGTATAAAAATTTGTTTAAAAATTAATTCATATTACATTTTCAAATGACTTTTTATTTTTTTGATAACTTACCATTTTAATAAGTATTTTTACTAAATATGCAATTTCTTTTTTTATGTTGGATTATATGTTTTGTTTTATAAAATATTCTTGACAATTTTAGTGAAGCCAACAGTTGAAAAAATAAAAGGTTTACGGCTGAGCCGTGATGATTTTGAAGCCTTAAAAATTATTGGAAGAGGAGCATTTGGTGAAGTATGAAATTTTCTTATTCTATTCTTATCACAAAAAAACTAATTCTCTAAAAATTGGATTATGGAGCACACTCCAAATCGTTAAAACAGCTGCTGATCATAAAAAATTGAAAAATAATTATTGGTTTAAATTGTTTAAAGCTTGCTCTGGCTTTCAAATAATGCCTAATATATATATTATTGTTTAAAATTTTTAATACTATTAAATGAAGATATTTTGCTTATCTTTAATATAATTATCTGATTTTCTGTTAGCATTTTTTTTAAAGAAAAATTTGTAGATTGGTTTATTAGTTAATGGTAGATTAAGTTCAATTGTTTATTTACATTTATTTGGGAATTAATCTATTTCATAGAGCAAGGTCACTATGCTAGGTTAGAAAACCTAAGTCAAGGTATTTAAATTGATAAATCAGGGAAGAATCAAGAAATTTTATTATGGCTAAGGTCTTGGATGCTTTTTGTGTGTGTTGAGCTTTATTTTTACTTTATTAGCAAATATTTATTTTTCAGTGGTATAGGTACAGTTCACATAGGTTTCAGTGGTATAGGTACACTATAATTATTTAATAAAATTTTTTAAAATGAAGATTAATGCTATCTTGTGCAACCTTACAAATCTCAAAAATTCTCTGCTTGCATTCAAGATGTAAAGTCATATTACACAGTCCTAAAATTACTACATGATAGACACATGCAGCAACTTGGACAAGAATGTGCTTAGAATTTTTGTGGCTCTGGTGAAGTAAAACATATTTGATGTTTAAAACATATTTTCAAATTTTTTCTATGGAACATGCTGAAATTTTGAAAAAGAAAATGATACAAATTAAAATAACAGATGTAAAATATGTATTTGCAAGTTTGTAAATATGTAACCCTGAATAATTGAACAGATGGTACAGTGGTTAAGGCACTGAACTATTATTGTTATGAACTGGGTCCTATTTCTGGTGATTGCTTAGAGCTCACCCAGCTTCTGATTATTGGATAACAGCTTGGAACTAAGGCGGTAGTTACAAAATGCTGACCACATTGCTACCATCATGTTACTGTTCTCAAAATTGTGGAGCCTTAACTCCTTGACACCGTTAGTTAACAATTGGCTTGTGCTTTATTTTATAACTAAATTATATTGCAATAATATAAAATATCAAAAATTATTACAAGTTTTAAAATTTAATCAACTTGAAAACGCTTTTGAATTAAACCGATTTTTTGCAGTACTAACGGTTGCTCCATTCATCATCTCCACTAAGCATGTCTCCAAATTTAACTATGTTAATCTTTTTCACTCATGTCTCTTGGCATGCATAATAATTTTATTTTGCTTTTCTTATGAAGGTCCTCTTTCTCTCTTCTGTATAGATAAAATTTCAATCAATTTTTTTTAAAAAAAAGCAATTTTTAATTTTTTTAATCAGAGTGATGTGGCAGAAATTTAAGTTGACTTCTAACTTTCAGAATCTGAAAGTGCCAGAAATGAATTTAATGTATGTTCAAACTCTTTGTTATACCTTATCATAAAAATTTTCTATAAAATAATATTTATTTTTGTAGAAATATTTTAGTTGCTATACAAACTGTTGTCAAAAATAAAACTTTTAGAATAGCATTCATGTAATATGTTTTTTTTTTTATAGATTGTAAAGTATTTTAATGTTTATTCTTACTTTTAGGTAGCTGTAGTTAAGCATAAAACAACTGGCAAGGTGTATGCAATGAAAATTCTTAACAAATGGGAAATGTTAAAAAGAGAAGGGGTAAGACTGACATATAAACTATTTGATCCTCTATTTTCAGAAATTTAGCACTTATAACTGTTAACGATATTTTTTACGTTTGTCATTTTTTGTTACTTTTATTCATAGTTACAATTTTTTTATTGTGTGTCAAAATTTGAAAAAAATATTTTTGTTCATAATTTTTGTTATTAAAAAATATATTATTAGCTCAAAGAATTATTATACTTAACAAGAAAAAGAATCGACAGTAATTTTTCTTAACAGTGTATCGGGAAAGTTTTTTCGTTGGAATTACTTATTATTTTTATTTAAAATTGTTTGTATTTATGCTTTCTTAAAAATGAACTATGTATTTTATAAATCAAAGTTACAAAATTATTCAGCTATCCTAGTATTAATTTTTCTGCCAAGCCAAATATTTGGCAGACCAACCCTCACTTCACAGAAGTAGTTGAATAGTAATTTAATGTACATGCATCTTTAAATCTTAGTATCAGATCAGTATTAAATTTAGTATCAGTACAGTTATTCAATAGAAAGAAAATCTGTTTGGTATTATTCAAGTCAAAATAAATAAATTAAAATAATAATTAAATAAATTTTCTTTTTAAAGTTTGTTGTTGAAACAAAATCAATTTAAATGTTTCAAAGTGTAATAAATGTTTATATTATTGCAGACTGCCTGTTTCCAAGAAGAGCGAGATGTTTTAGTTTATGGTGATAAAAGGTGGATTACACACCTGCATTACGCATTTCAAGATGACAGTAATTTAGTGAGTTGAAATATTTTACTTGATTATGTTATAAGATGTAGAAAAATGTTAGAAAAATATAATTTAGCATTTATAAAATTTAAATAAGATTTTTTCTGAAATTTGAATTGTTGATAGATTTATTAAGCAAAAAAGGGTATTAAATGTTTAATTTGATTGTTTTAAGATATATATGTACATAAATTTATTTAATTATCTAAATAATTGTGTTACTTTCTACAGGAAGGAAAAAATGATCATTGATTTGATGTTTTTATATTCTCTCTGCATTTTTATTCAAAGATTATATATATTTTACAGGGGAAAAATAATACGCATTGAAATTTTACATCTTTCTTAGTTATGAAATTTTTACTTTCAGTACTTTCTTATGGATTACTATTGTGGTGGTGATCTACTAACACTGTTAAGCAAGTTTGAAGACCATCTGCCGGAAGATATGGCGAAATTTTATATTGTAGAGATGATTTTAGCTGTTCATTCTATTCATAGACTGGGCTATGTGCATCGTGATATTAAACCTGATAATGTTTTGCTAGATGCTTCTGGTCATATTCGTCTAGCTGATTTTGGTTCCTGTTTAAAATTACTTGAAGATGGCTCAGTAAGAATTTTTTTTTTTTAAATAACTAGTCACTTATTTTTAAGTCTAATTATTAAATTCTACAAACTAAAAGCAAATGACTTAATTTCTTATTTAAGTATTTTTTAAATTTTTTTTATTATTTCTTGACAGGTACAATCAAATGTAGCTGTTGGAACGCCTGATTATATTTCACCTGAAATACTAAGGGTAATTTTAAAACATTTTTTACGAATTTCAATTATAAGACTACATTTTTATGTTATTTTTTTCTAGTATATTGTGGTAAATCACGTGTTTAAAAATTCAATGCCTTTTTTTTCTAATTTTTCTACTATTTTTATGGTTTTGTAATGGTAGTGTGAAAGTATTTTGATTTTATTCATTTAATACAATAATTCATTATAATTAACCATCATTAAATGAATTACTATATTTATTTTTTGCTTGTGTTTAATTACTTTATTTAATATTTATGTTTATGATGCATTTTTCAAACGTGATTTCAAAAGTGAAAAGTGATTAATTTAAAAAAAAAAAAAATCTTACAGAAAAGTTTTGCACTAATAACTTCTAAAATAAATTTTTTAGTGACAAAAATTAATGAAATGATGAATTTACTTGAGGAAAATAAGTTTATTTTCAAGATGTATCTGCCTATTATTAATGTAATTTCATTACTAGAAATGCTACAAAAATATAAAAATATTGTTATTTGAAATTCAATCATAATCTAACTAATGAACAAAAAAATTTTTTTTTGTACTCAAAATCAGCATCATTTCAATTTTTCATTTCTTTTTATAAGACTTAACTGAAAATCAAATTGTTTTTGTGATAAATGATGGTTTTGTGATAATATTGTAATATTTTATCCTTGCCAGCTAACATAAATGTTGGTTAAGGTGCATTCAAAATGTTTTCAATAAAAACATCTTGAACCTTAAGTCAAATTCAAGAATACACTTATCTTTTGGTTTATAATTAAATGCTTATAGAGTTCGTTATTAAGAACCAAGATTTCTTAAAAGAACTTAAATTATTATGTCATATAAGTTATGAAATTTGTTCCATTTTAATTCTTTTTTTCAATGATAATAATAGCACATTGTCTAACAATGTTCTATAATCTTATAGGCGATGGAAGATGGTCAGGGAAAGTATGGTCCTGAATGTGATTGGTGGTCTTTAGGGGTTTGCATGTATGAAATGCTGTATGGAGAAACACCTTTCTATGCTGAATCTTTAGTTGAAACATATGGAAAGATTATGAATCACAAGGTTGGTGCATATGCTTTTAAATTAAAGCTATTAATATGCTCTTTTTAAATTTGAATTAGATTAAAATGTAATAAAAATGTTGTAAAAACTCAATTATATGATGATAAATATCTTTCAGAATTGTTTTGACTTTCCTGATGATCCAGGATTCGTTGTATCTGAAGAAGCCAAAGATTTGATGAGGAAGTTGATATGTTCATCAGATTGTAGGCTAGGACAACACGGCTTAGAGGATTTTAAAAATCATCCTTGGTTTGATGGCTTAGATTGGGATGATGCAAAAAATGGTATGTTCTGAAATTAAATTACTTTTGACTTCTAGTTACATATTTTCACCTAGCCTTCTTTTTCACGTAAAAAAGTTTCAAGTCATTGAAATTTTTCCAGCAAACTCGTTACTTATATAATTACAGTTCATAGTCATCAAATGATATATGTTGTGAATAATGTATTTATTTTGTTTCATGCTTAAATATTGATGTACAGTTAAAAGTAACAGATATTGTTTATGGCATATTTAATCACTGTATGCCTTTTTTCCCAGTTCTAAAAAAATTACATCAGTTGCAAACAAACACATGGGCACCACTTTAGGCATTAACCACATTATCTGACTAAGGTTGAAATTATTAATTTTTACCACATTTTATTTTTTAATTTATGCATGATTTTCGATATTCTTGTTGGTTTTACAATTAACAGAAACTAAATATTCCCAAGATTACTGATATTAATATTTTTTTTGAGAACAAATTTAATTTTTTCGGTAATTCAATACAAAGTATCTGTTTTGATAATTTTATTACTCTTAATTAGTAATTTTGATGTAATTAAATTGCATATATTGAAGCTTACTTTGTTGTTTGGTAAAATATATCCTTATAAAATAAAAAAATTTTTTTTTTCATTTATTTATCATAATTTTTGAAAATTCATGTTACTGTAAAAAACAGGAAAAAATAGCTCTGTGACTACTTAAAATCATGGTTTGCATACCAGTTACAAACATAGTTTTTGTTATATAAGACATATCAATTTAAAATGTTATTCCAATTAATGTTATTGTTAATGCAAATTCTATTTCAATTCTTATTAATTATTTATATTTGGTGACTGGTTATAAGTATTTTGCAATTTACTTAATATCTGTAGATAATTTTTTTATTTAATCTATTTTGTTTTTATCCTTTCTAGCAACAGCTCCATACATTCCTGAAGTTAGCAGTCCAACAGATACATCTAATTTTGATGTTGATGAAAGTGATTTGAAACATTCGGTATACCTTATTTTATATTATTTATATGGTGTGGTATGATTTGTATGGCTTAATACCAATTCTGATGTGAGAATAGGTTACATAGTTTAGCTTCAACTAACTATACATAAAAAAAAAAATTTCCATTGAAAAGGAAATTTTTTGGTAGAACATAATATAATCCATAAGTTTGTAACTGTTTTTTATATTTTTTTATATAGGAATCTTTTAAAATAGCTGTCCTAATTCTTGATCTGTTTAAATGAGGAAAAATACCTTTTTTGATTTTTTTTAAACCTAGCCTCAGTTATTGATAGTTCTTTTTTGAATACAACAACATTTCTGAACCTTTTTTAAAAATGTTTTTAAAAATCTATCTGTAGTTTAAATTCTGTTTAAATGGATTATATCTTTCAGGCTTCCATATATTTTGACAGAGCCTAAAAAATTCTTACAATGTAACTTAATGTTACATTTTATCTTTCTGCTAAAAAACTATTAGATTTATCAACTTAAAATTGTGATGGATTGTAAAAAACTGTAAAGGGAGTACAATAGATTAAAAAAAAACAATATTGGTTAACTATTACGCTTCTCATAAAAAATAAGATATGGGCCACTCTGCAGTTGATAGGAATGCAACTACAGAGTAAAATTTGGCATGGTAAAAGAGATGTATTTGTTCATTAACTTAACATAGAGATTTTATTTTAAAATTCCAATTTGTTTGAAAGTTATTGCTATTTTAATTGCTTTTTTGTGATTTTTTTTTTTTGTGCTTTTTCTTTAAGTTACATTTTGTTTTGCTGTGCAAAAACTATAAGAATTATAAAGTTTAAATTATGATGGGTTGTAGTAAAATGTACGTGGAGTATGATGGAGAATAAAAAAAATTTAACATCTGACCATTATTTAGAGAATAAACTGTTAAAATTGTATGAAGAAATACTGTTTAGTTGATCTTTAGTTCACTGAAATACAGCAGACGAGTTACAGTTTTATAAAATGCAAGAGCCATTGTTTTGTGAACTTAATGCGAATTTTGTATCATAATTCCAATTTGTTTAAAAGTTAATGCAAATTCAAGTGCTTTATTATTTGTTTTTTAACTGCTTTAAATGTGATTATTTTTCCATTGATGCATAAAATTTTTTTCCCCCACAAGATCATTATTTTTTTCTTTATATAAGCTCACGCTTTAGTTGATAGCAAAAAAAAGAGAAAAAAAAGATAGAAATATTATTAATGTGCTGCCAGATATAAATTTTAACATTTACATTGAAATTAAAAAAGAGAAAAACCCAACTTATTATTAAAGTGCTTTAAAAACTGTTCTTTACTTTAATTGTTATAAGTCTTGGCAGCAAGTAAAATTAGTTCTCATCTATTTCCACATAATCTGTATTTATTAGGTTAATTTTTTTCAAGTACACTTGATTATTTTTTTGATCTAGGTAATCGCCTATTTCATTACAATGAACATATTCACAAAATGTTAATTGCACATGCTCGATGCTATAATTCATAAAACTGCAATATATGTATGTTTTAAAACAAAAAATAGTGATGAATGAGGAATAATTACAAGAGTTGAAGGGGGGAGAGAGCAAGGGGTGAAGCCTTCTAGTTAATGTATATTATTGTTCAGTAATGACAATCTGCAGTTATTCCCCTAGTTACTAAGATTTAGATAGTAATATTTAACTAGACAGTGAAATTTGGTATAAAAGCTGTATAATTAATTAATAAAAATTTTTTTAAGCAATTTATATTAGTAAGAAATTTTTATGGTTATATTGAAAGCTATTCATGAATCGTTTTTTTTTTTTTTTTAAATTTTAGGAATCATCACCACCAGTTGCAAATCCAGTGTTTTCTGGTGTGCATCTACCATTCATTGGTTTTACTTTTACCAGTGGAAGGTAAGAAAAGTTTTAGTACATTTTTTAGGCATGTATATCATTTATATGTTTTTATGCTAATTTCTATTTTCGTTAATTTTTATAGTAAAATATCTGACACTGGATTTTTTAAAATGATTAATGAGGTCTGTGATATTATGGATGGTGTTCCGAATTCCTGCTTAGAAGAGAAAGTAGAAATTTTAGAGAAAGAAAAAAGTGACCTTGCTAAAAAAATTAGAGGTATTTTTCTTCTTTATAATATTTGGTTTGATTTTATTCTAACATCAAACTAGAAATACACAAATGAGCGATTTATGACAAAATTATTATGATTGTTAATTCGTTCGGAGAATAATGATGTGGCTGCAAATATAATTTCTCTAATGGCACTGTATGTGCATGTTTACTATTCTTTTCTATTAAAGTAAAGACTTGTTTAGCGAAAAAAAGGAATCGATTATGGTATAGGTTAAGGAAGTAGAATTCTTTCAATTAAATGGAATAAAATTTTTTTAAACAAACTAAGATTGCTTTTTTTTAAATCTTTTGAGCCCGTTTCAAAATTTATTTTCTTAAAATAAGTTCAATAGAAAAGATAATGATTGAATTCTAATATTATAAATCTGAAACATATCAACTCGTTTGATTTCAAATTTTATAAATTTGAAACATTAACTCTCAAAGGCGACTATAAAAGGTTTTTACAAATTGGTAGCCATTTCTTCATTAAGTCGTAGGAAATGTTAACTATTGTTGTAAGTTTTAATTCACCTAAATTAAAAATTTGAAACTAAATTTTTTCTTCTGAAACACATATTAACCTGGCCATTAACAGCCATCAAATTTTCCTGAAGTTCAGAATAACTTTGACAGTAGTTAAAATTAAACAGGAGATTGTAGAAACAAGTTCTAAAAGTTTACTTTTAACTTATAATTTAGTTTCTAAGTAAATATGTTTTATAAACTTTATTTATTTTTAAGTAGTTCAAGTACATAAAATTCTCATTTCTTTCATTTATATAAGATTATGGCTCTTTCCCAATAAAATTCATTTAAATTAAATTCAGGCTCAAGTTGAAATTTTTTTATTTTCAATTATGGAAATCTTACTTAATATTTTAATTTAAGTATTTTTTTTTAATAAAATCTTTTCTCAATCACAGTAAAAAAAAAAAACTTTTCTTAAAAATTTCCCTTCCTCTTTTTTTTTCTTTCTTTTTTTAAATAGATTTTGCACTTTGTTTTGCAAGTGAATTATGTGTTTGTTTAAGTGTGGAAATATTTTCCTTCCCAACATTAGGAAGGAAAATATTTCAACATTGTGTTAGTTTTAAAGTTTTTATGTATAAGTGGAAATTTTGGAAAATTTTATTTTTGTAGTTAATATTGTTACAGTAACTCTTCTTCATAAAAGGGAATAATTATTAATTTGAGGGTTTTAAACAGGCTTTCCGTAAAAATCATATATCATTTCAATAAAAAAAGTTTTTTATATTTATTCTAACGTTTTGTAGAATCAAAATTTCTTCATAAGTTATAATTTATGTCCTTTACTGTATTGATTAATTTTTTCTAGAAATGTCAAATTATCAAAATAATACATCTAGTGATGATAATGTCATCAAGAATTCTGAAAATGACGTAAGAAAGCTACAAGATGAAGTGAACACTCTTCGAAAAAAATCCTTAGGTATATAGTTGCTGCTTATAACTTATTATTAATTAGCAAGCTTTGATATATAAATTAATAATATTATCTTCTCCAGAATTGGAAAGGGAATTGCAGAAGCATCGCAATGATCATCGTAAAATCTTAACAGCTAAACAAGATTTAGAATCTATTCAAGATGAAAAATCTTCTGTTATAAAAGATTTAGAAAAAACTATAAAATTACTCAAAGCAGAAAAAGATGATTTACATAAAGTAAGAATAAAATGACTACTTTGTTTCTTTTGATTTACTTTGTTTCCAGAATTATTAATTAATTTGTAAATTGAAATAAATAAATGAAAGTTTAATTAATTTTTCTATTAATTTATGTGTGTAAGAATTCATTTATTTTTCAGGAAGCAATTGAATCTCAAGAAAAACTTAAACTGCAATCAAAGGAGTTGAAGGATGCTCAAATACAAAAGAAATCTGCTATGACTGAATATACAGAGATTAGTGATAAGTATGATGATTAGTGAAAAATTATTTTTTTGTAAGATTTGCTACATTTTTTATATTTTGTTCTGGTTATAAAATGTAAAGGTCTGCTTTCCATTTTTTTTATATCAAATTCATTTGTTTTCTTAAAATATTTTAATATCTTATTTTGTTTATGTATTCTTGAATCCTTAATGCTTTTTCTAATTAAAGCATATTGTGATATTGTGATAATAAAAAACGTAAGCAAAATAATTATAAGCCAAAAGCCATAAAACGGTTTTCGTGTCATAAACAAAATTATGCCATTGCAAAATAAAGGCTCAGTAGCTCTTGTTAAGATGTATGTGGTGCACTCTGCTATAACAGGATTTTTTTATGGTACAATGAGCTGTGAAGAAAATTTGATTTCCACATGCAGGCTGACAATGTTAATGGTTCAAAGATTTGACTTCATATTTGCTGATTCATTAGTGCTTACTTTTACTTTCATCTAAGTTACAAAATTAGGCTCTAAAACGTACTTTCTCTTTATAAGCATGCAATGTGCCACAAAGATTTAGGCAATCATGGAATTTTGTAAATTTTAGAATAATGCAGATTTTTTCCTATTATTTTACTGTAAGTGTAATTAACTGAAAAGAGAATATTCGAAGTAAAAGAAATGTGATAGTTGAAAGAAGAAATAAATAAAACAACAAAAAAAAATTGGTATTTACTTGTTTCAAAAATTAAAGCTCAAGTAAATAAAGGCAGAATTTTAGCAAATTATGCCATGTTAAATGGTTATGACATTTATGAATCCTTTGGCTACTTATGAATTCTTTGGACTACTTTTAAATTTCATTTACACAGCTTAAGAAGTTCACACATATAAATAAATTTTAAAAATTTAAAAGTTAACTGAAAATAATTCTTCCATAATTATCATTTTAAATGAATTGCTTAAAATGCAGTATTTACTGAGTTTTAAACCATGTAAAAATTACCAACCACAATTATGATAAGAAAGGCTGCAAAACACAATTTTGAGAAATTCAAAAATTAGGTTTAAACCAAAAGTGTTCAACAATTGACATAAGAATCAAATGGTTCATACTGTTTCAAGATAAATCATTTAATGAGAAGAGATGTATCAAGAGAAATCATCATACCTGATAACTAAATTGGGCTGGGCATTGCATGTTATAATGAATAAACTATTGTGTGAGTAATCAAATGTTAGTAGCTATATTTACCAAGTTATTATTCAGGGATGAGATTTTTCCGCTTTTTAGCTGATTTCCGCTTTTTTCACTTTTATTTCTTGAATTTCAGCTTTTTTATCAAAAATTCAGATTTTTCTAAAAATTTCACTTTTTTTATAAGTATTCCGCTTTTTCAGAAAATTCACCCATTTTCAAAGAGAAACAGAAAATTCAAACTACATAACTACTAATCCTTTCTCATTTTTACTTATTTTAGCTATTTTCTCCCCTTTTACTCGCAGCGGATAAGATTTTCCGAATTTATTACCCGCCCTCCAGATAGATCCGATTTTTGTAGTTCAAACGACGCTGTTTCTGACAAGCCTTTTAGAGGTCCNTCAAAGCAGAAAAAGATGATTTACATAAAGTAAGAATAAATTGACTCCTTCGTTTGTTTCTTTTGAGTTACTTTGTTTCCAGAATTATTAAATAATTTGTAAACCAAAATAAATAAATGAAAATTTGATTGTTTTTTTCTCTTAATTTATTTGTGTAAGAATTCATTTATTTTTCAGGAAGCAATTGAATCTCAAGAAAAGCTTAAACTGCAATCAAAGGAGTTGAAGGATGCTCAAATACAAAAGAAATCTGCTATGACTGAATATACAGAGATTAGTGATAAGTATGATGATTAGTCAAAAAATTATTTTTTTGTAAGATTTGCTACATTTTTTATATTTTGTTTTGGTTATAAAATTTTAAAGTCTGCTTTCCATATTTTTTATCAAATTCATTTGTTTTCTTAAAACATACTTTAATATCTTATTTTGTTTGAATATTCTTGAATTCTTAATGCTTTTTTTAATTAAAACATGTTGCGATAATAAAAAATCGTTGACCAAAATAATTATAAGCCAAAAGCTATAAAATGGATTTCGTGTAATAAGCAAAGAGAGTTTATGCCATTGCAAAATCAAGACTCATAACTTCTTGTTAAGATGTATGTGTTGCAATCTGCTTTAACAGGATTTTTTTTATGGTACAATGAGCTGTGAAGAAAATTTGATTTCCACATAATGGCTGCCAATGTTAATAGTTCAAAGATTTGACTTCATATTTGCTGATTCATTGATGCTTACTTTTACTTTCAATTAAGTTACAAAATTAGGCTCTAAAGCATACTTTCACTGTATAAGCATGCAATGTGCCACAAAGGTTTTAGGCAATCATGGAATTCTGTAAATTTTAAAATAATGCAGATTTTTTTCAATTAATTTATTGTAAGTGTAATTAACAGAAAAGAGAATATTCAAAGTAAAAGAAATGTGATAGTTGAAAAAAGAAATAAATGAAACAGAAAAAAATTGGTATTAACTTGTTTCAAAAATTAAGACTCAAGTAAGTAAATGCAGAATTTTAACAAATTATGCCATGTTAGAAGGTTATGACATTTATGAATCCTTTGGCTACTTATGAATTCTTTGGACTACTTTTAAATTTCATTTACACAGTTAAAAAAGTTCACATATATAAATAAATTTTAAGAATTTAAAAGTTATCAATTTATTATCAATTATCACAATTATCAATTTAAATGAATTGCTTAAAATGCAGTATTTACTGAGTTTTAAACCTTGTAAAAATTACGAACCACAATTTATGATAAGGAAGGCTGCAAAACACAATTTTGAAAGATTGAAAAATTCAAAAATTAGTTTCAGACCATAAGTGTTCAACAATTGACATAAGAATCAAATGGTTCATACTATTTCAAGATAAATCATTTAAAGCGAAGAGATGTATCAAGAGAAATCATCATACCTAATAACTAAAACTAAATTGGGCTGGGCATTACATGTTATATGGATATGAATAATCTAATGTGTGATTAATCAAATGGCAGTAGCTATTTTTACCAAGTTATTATTGCAGACTATTATTATTGAACAATTTTAACAATGGCTATTATTACAGAAAAAAGATTCCAAAAGATTTATGTAGTTGACAACATAGTAGAGTTTAGCTTATGGGTGCCAATAATAGCCAAATTAATTCAAAAGCCAAATCTTTTTGGCATTTTAAAAGCGTCAAATCCTAGTTGGCTATTGAAATACATTAGAGAATATAAGATTCTTCCACCTTTCAAAGAAATTTAAGGTGGGTTTTCAAAATGTAATGCCAGCATACACTAATCTGTGCCTGTAAAACTTTTTTTCTTTATATTTTGCCCTATATTAGAAACTTTTTAAATGAATCAAAAATATTAGGATAAATCAAATTTTTGAATTATGAGTTAATGTTTTCCTTATTTTCGTACAATATAGCAACCTTACATTTTAAGATCCATTTCCCTTGGGGCAGCCGAGGCCATTGTATTGAGGTTTGACTATATGTAATATGTTTCTTTTTTTTTGTTTGTTTTTGTTTATTAAAGGTTTTGTATTTTTTAGACTTTCTGAAGTACGAGCTCAAAAACAAAAATTATCGAGGCAGTTACGAGATAAAGAAGAAGAGTTGGAAAATGCAATGCAAAAAATTGATACTTTCCGCCAAGATATGAGAAAAGCAGATAAATTGAGAAGAGAGGTATACTATGTATTTTGTTTTTAACTATAAAAATTTTCCCTTTATTCTTAATATTATTTTTATTCTATGTTTATATAAGTTTTTATTGTAAGAAGTGTTTTTAAAATTATCTGTACTAAATAAATTAAAAATATTTATTTTATTACACTACAAAAGTGCTTTTCTCCCTTCAGCTGGAAATCCGACTAGAGGATAGCAAATCAGATATAGCAAAAGAACAAAGATTGCGAGAAAGGCTTGAAGAAACAATTCGTCGCCTGGAATCTGAAGTTGAAACACTGAAACGAAGGCATGTCGGTAGAGCTTTTTCTCCTGAACAAACTGATAATAGTCAAGAACTTAGTCGGTAAGTCAATTTTAAGTTTCCTGTTTCAAATTTAAATTTTGAATTAAGATTTCTTTCATGGTGTATTTTTTGTGTGTGTCTCACATAGTTTGAAAATGGAGCTTGAAAATTTGAATTTGCAACACAAAGATTCACTCTCTCAATTACAAATGAGGCACTGTGCTGAAATAGCAGCTTTACATGATCAACTACAAGAAACTGAAGCATCTAAATTAAAAGCAGAGAAAGAAGTAATTATCCTGAATGAAATGTTATATCTTGAATTGAATTTTTATGTTATTTTCATGATTGTTGAAATTCAACTCCTTCTGCTTAGGGAGCTGTGCTGTGGATTTATTCTTCTATACTCTATTCTGATAAATTTAAATCTTACAGCAATCTAAAAAATCTAAATGTTGTAACATCAATAATCATGAAAGTGAATCTATATTAATTTCCATTGCTATGAGTGGATATATATTTGAAATTTTAGTTATTGTTTTATCCTCATTCAAAAATTTATTTCACATATTTATTTTAGGTTGCCTTCTTTAAAGATAAATTTGAACAAGCTCGATCAGAAAGGTACATTAAATTTCTTTTAAATATCTTTTTTTAATTACTAAATATACAACTAAGACGTTTCTTTGATTTTTTTCTTTAACGCATAATTCTTACTTATATGGCACTCAGAAAAAATGTGCTTTATTGATTTTGCACTTCACTACTATTTCATGTATATTGTTCCATGGTTAATGTTTAATTATTAGAATTCTTATTATCAAAATTGGAAGATAATATTGTATAGTTTTTACATTTGATTTGAAGTCAAAATTTTGAAATATTTTCTGTGGGGATCATCCAAATCTTATGTGAGCATATTTTTGTTGTTTTTAAACTCCTCCCTTATAAACAAAAATTAGCTAACTGCAAACCCCCTCTTCTTATGTAAGATTTTGAGCTTTAGCAATAATAATCTAATTTTCAGAATTTTTACTATAACAGTAATGAAATTTCACATTTCAATTAATTTCTTTCAAACTCTATTTAATCAAATTTCTGAATCATAATTTTTATTAAGCATAGCTTTTATTTAATGTTTTAACATTAATTTTCTGCATTTATACTTATTCAGATGATTTAACGCACATATATTTCTAATGTTGGTTGGTTATATATGTGTGATTCATATTAATTAAATTTTTTCTTTAGGGAATCGGAGCATCAAGATCTTTTGCGAGAACTTAAGCAGAGTCATGCAAGAGAAAAATCGATGTTGCAAGACGAGCTTAAAAAAATGACATCTGATGTAGAAAAAGTATGCACACTTATTTTTTGAGCTACCAAATGTTAAAGCAAATATTTATATAAATATAAATTCAATTTGAAATTTTATCCTTTTATCTTTTTAAAATATTAAGATTATTTAGTAATTTATAATCTCTTAAAATATTTTAAATTCTTATTTTCTTTAATTAATTTAATTAGTCTTTTGAAATTAAATATTAACAATTTGCATTTCACTGTTGACAATGAAGTTATAAGAAATTCTTTTTAAATTCAATAATATCCAAGAAGCATAATATCAATACTATCCTACAATATTTTGTCACTTTGTGTCATTTTATGTTATTTATTTAATGAACATTGCTGAGGTTAGTCTGTTTTTATTATTAATGTGCGGTAGTTTTAACTTATGTTTTTATTCATACATTTTTTTGATAGTTATTGTCAATTTTTTTTCAAAAACTTATCTAAACTTAATTTGTACCTAATTTAAGAAGAATTGTTTCATACACCTTGCACTATAATTATTTATTTACCTGTAGTATATCAAGACATTGCAGAAAGTTGAAGAGGAAAAGAAGAGATTGGAGAATGACTTCTACCTGATTAAAGACAAAAAAGATTCCATTAATCAATGGGAGGCTCAAATTAGTGAAATCATTCAATGGTAAATATTGATATTACATATGTTTAAAAATTGTTTATGTTGTTGTATTTAGTAATTGTTTATGTTTTGTCTCTAATATTTGGAAAATATTGTTTTTAATTTTAATTTATTTTCAAATAAAAACTCTGAGAAAAGAAAAGTGAGTACCATATATCCCTGTATAAAAGTTGACCCCTTATTTTTGGTTTCGAGATAGCAAATTTCTGATATGTTCTGTGAATAAGTTGACTGCTGAAAGAACCAAATATAAAATTTTCTAAAATTATAAATGTTCTATAATATTCTTTTCTAAAATTATAAATATTTTCTAAACTTATAAATATTTCAAATTTTTTGCTCTGGATATGATACATTTGTTCTCAAAGATGCAACAACATAAACAAATGCTGTGTGGTGACCAGTTTATCAGGTTAAACTTACATGTGACGTCACTTGAAGGTTTGAAAAGTGTGGATTCAAATGTTATTGTAAAATCTCTTTAAAAAATGTGGAATTTTGAATTCTTTCGATGGGGATGAAGACAATTTTCTGTGTGTCTAAGCAGAGGAGTAGAATTTATGCAGAGTGGGATTTGTATGACAACGCTGCTAACATTATTGAATCTGACACAGATGATGTGCTGGAATCTTTAAATTTGTAGCTTTATGGTATGCTTTAATAGTTTTCATTGTGTTACCTATTTTGAAATACTCTTGAATAAATTATCTCATTAAATTTTTTCAGAAACTAATTTAAAGTATTGTTTTTGAGAGAAAAACTTTTTTATGTTACGAAAATATGATAGGAGAAAATGTAAAATAAATTGTATATCCATATATATGAGCTTAAGAACTTTTTATATCGGTTAAATCCCTTATATTGCATTATCTCAACATTGCACTTACTTAACTTTTAAGTCTTGCATAAGTTTGAGTATGTAATGTTAAGTCAAGATTTATTTATTTTTTTATTTTTAGCTATCATGATTTAAAATAAAAATAAATACAGGTGGAAAATATTGAAAAAATAAAATACTCGAAATGAAAAATCATGATTATCATAACATATTCAAAATTTAAAATTCGTGAGCCTTGTATGTGGTAACAAGTTTGTGGCGTTTGTCAATGGTTAACTTTTCGATTCAAATAAAACCTGTATCAGGTTTCATTACTGAAAAAAAAGATATATATTTATGAAAATTTTTATCCGTACTTTAAATTAATTCTGTACGTAGATGTGTGTGAACTTTATTCCCAACAAAATATTCATAATTTGTTTTATATATTTATTTTTTTTAATTTTAAGGATGTATTGATTTTATAGGTTATCTTTTCTCTAGTATTCTAAGGCCCTAAAACTTCACTGCTAAATCTTTGAAAATTATATTGTTCATATTCCAAGAGCTAAATATTTATCTTCTTAAAAATTATCATTTAATAACAGTAATATATTTAGAATTGTAGTGTCTTTAGTCATAAATTGGAAGATCCCTTAGGCTGGTCCCTATTGACTTTAAGACTGAGTGTGTTCTGCCCTATATACCCTTGTCTGATCATAGGCTTTCTTAACAATTTTTAAGTATAATCTATAACAATTTTTAAATATAAACTAGCTGTTTACAATAGTTTTCACATTAATATTCTACTTTATTTAGTTTTCAGAAAAGGAAATAGGTTAGAAAAAATCAAACACGAATAGTTGCTTACTTTTTTTTTATCAATTGTGTGTTCCAAATATTCCTGTATCTAAATTTAATTTGGAAATTGATTTTAGGGTGAGTGATGAAAAAGATGCAAGAGGTTATCTTCAAGCTTTAGCCTCCAAAATGACTGAAGAATTGGATGCTTTGAAAATGACTGGAGTTCCACCTACTTCAACAGTTGTATGTCTTTTCCCTTTTTTAAAAATATTTTTATATATAGTTTTTTTTTATTAATAATGAATATATTAATGCTTTAGTTTTCATTATTTATATATATATTTTTTGATGAGCAGTAGTAATATTTTCTTAAACATTTTACACAAATTATAGTAATTTCGTATGCACTATATATTGTTTTGAAAACTGCTTTGATAATTTCATTTTAAAATAACTTTTGAAATGTAATTATCACAGGTTGAAGATGTTTATTAATTAATTATATAATTCATCAATTTCACTTTCACCTCTGGGGTTTTTCCCTAAAAGGTTCTATTGGAATGTTAATTTTACATTACTTAGGTTTAAGGCTAATATAATTGTAGACAAAATTTAAAATGCTTTCTTTTATCGATATACACTCTATACCATATTTAACTTTCATGTCTTTTTCCTTTTAGTCTTTGCTAATCATGTTTTAATTTGCATTGATCATGCTAACAAAAATTAATATATTGGATTGTTTATCAGTATACTTTCTGCATCTTTGTTCAGCAGTATTTTGACCTAATATTGGCTTACTCTATGTGTTATCTAAAAAACATTTAACAAAGCACATTCTTGAAAAAAAGGGAAAAAAACACAACAAAATGGTAATTGAAATAGTGAATTTTCATATTTTTAATACTTTAGAGGGTACCGTAGCACATAGTTATGGAAACTTTACACTTCAAAATAGCTTATGAATTTTATACTTGTTGTTTAAGCATTTTTTAAATTATATTTTATGTTTTTTAAGTATCATTTTATATGTTTTCTATCTTCATTTTTAAAGGAGAAGAATTGGAAAAACAGGAGATCCCAAAAACTCGATAAAATGGAATTGCTGAATCTGCAGTCTAGCCTTCAAAGTGAAATTCAAGCAAAGCAAGCTATTAGTTTAGAATTGAGTAGAGTTCGTGCTGAGCTGGTTGCTGAACAAAAGTATTTAACTATTTTTCTACATTGCTTTAAAACTTGATTTAGTGTCAGTATAGGTATTTCGTAGTAACGCAAGCAATATGTAATAAATTCAATAGTAAGTTTACTGTTTCAAATAAATAAACTTACACCCTCTGTTATTTTGCTGGGCTTAATAACTACAGGCTCCAAGGACCTGGGATTTCTGAAGTTCTAAGTTCTTTTTTACTAAAAGCTGATCTCTATGTAAAATAATATAGATTCCTATTTTGAAGAAATGTATAGAAAAATAAATGTTTAGAAAAAAAATGCCATTAGTAATTGATTCAGTTATAATAATTTAACATATAAGAAACAAATTTTTTTTTCGATTCACTACAGAATTGTTTTTTTTTCCCTCCATTATTGTTGAAGAAAAGAAACTCTTTTTCTTAGATTTGACTTATTTTTTTTTACATAAATCTGCTTGTGTTCTATAGATTAATATGCACTCTGAGGTGATAAAAATCATGGAATACCTCTTAATGCCATGTTAGACATCCTCTAGCTCTACGAAGGGTAGCAACTTGATGTGGCATAGACTCAACAAGTAGTTGGAAGTCTCTTGAGGGAATATTCAGCCATGCAGCCACAATCGACGTCTATAATCGCAAAACTGTTGCAATTGCAGGATTTTGTGCAAGAACTGACCTCTTGATTATATCCTATAAATGTTGAGTGATCTAGGTATCCAAATCATTTACTGGAATTGTCCAGAATATTCTTCAAACTAGTGGAACAATTAATGTGCTGGGTAACATGGTGCATTGTCATCCATAGAAATTTCACAGTTGTTTGGTTACATGAAGTTTATGGATGGCTGCAGGTGGTCTCTCTCCAAGTAGCTGGAAATAACAATTTCCAGTCATTAATCAAACCATAGGACTATGCTATGAAAAAGCATACCACCCCATTATGGTGCCATCACTAAATTGCAGAGTGCCTTGTTGAGAACTTGAGTGCATGGCTTCAAAAGGGGTCTGTCCTGCACTCAAACTCACGATCAGCTCTGACCAGCTGAAATCGTGACTCATCTGATCAAGCACAGTTTTCCTGTTGTCTATGGTCCAAACAATATAGTCCCAAACCCAGGTGAGGAGCTGGATGTGATTTTGTGCTGTTAGTAAAGGCACTCAAGTCTGTCTTCTGCTGCCTGTCCTATATTGCTTGTCCCAATGGACATGTTCATTTCATGTCCCACATTGATGCTTGCAGTTATTTCACATAATATTATTTGTCTGTTGACACTGACAATTCTATGCACTCATCATTTAAAGATTTCAATAGATTCATCAGTCATATTTTTCTTGTCTGAAAGCTATCTTCACTCCTTTCGTGAAATGTTGTATTAGTTGTTATTTCGGTGATGAAACCGTGGGATTTGCTTTTTCTTGATTTATTTTTAATTTAACTTTTCAGTTCGCTGGACGTTATTTAGTAAAAATGGCTGCCCACAACCAGCATAATGCTATATGCTGATTACAGACTTCAAAAATTTTGAAAGAGGATTGATTAGATTGGTAGTGGTTTTTATCAAAATAATTCTAGTATTTCTGCATAAATATTTGCTTTATTTTTTCATATCCAAATTATAGCAACCTTACGTTATAACATCCATATCTTTTTAGACCACGGGGGTTATATTGTGTGTCGACTGCATATATATATGCACATATATGTATAGCACACCAGGTTTTATTTATTTATTTTTTGTTTGCTCTTCCGCTGATTGTGTGCTGCTGTCAGTGAATTTTCGATTAGGTGTTTTATATTAAATTACATTTTCTTTAACTATATATATATATATTTGTCTAGGTGACTTGTCTTAACTTTTTTACTTGCCTCTCCCTTACGATTTACGGCATATTTAACATGGCATATAAGCGGAATTGCTGGCTACTATCTTTAGATGATAAAAATTTCTGTTTCCTTTTTTATTTGTGTAGTAAGTCTTGTTTTTAATCCTATACTTTAAACATCTTGAGACGATGGGTTTGAAATTGTTAGATGAAATAATTCTGTTTCCATAGTGCCTTAAATGATGCTGAGATGAGGATTTCTTTTGATTTGTAAATTTGATTTTTTATATGTTACTTTCAAAATATTACTGGGTTATACTCATAATAGGAGTAAATAATTATTTGCCATTATTTTTTTTTGTTGAAATGATATCAAATGTGAAAGATTTAGTTTTCGTTTTTCCTTTTTTTAAGGGCCGGATACATTTTACTTAATAATATTTTAAAACAAAAGTAAAATATTGTATCTTTTTTTTAGAATTCATAAAGATTGCTTACAACGTATTGAGTTCTACAAGAGGGAGCATATGAAGAAAGAAAACCAAATTAAAGATTTGCAACAGAGAATGGAATCTGGAGATAGCTGTAAGTGTTCAAATTAATGTTGAACTTGTATCATTTTTATGTTTTAAATGTTGTAAAATAAAAGTTAATTTATTGTATTGAATAAATTTATCATGGATCTGAACTATTTTCATAATTTTTAATAATGAAACAGTGTTTTCATTACAGAAAAAAAATGGGAGGGAATTTCTCGCTCTTTCTCAGAAACAGGGTGAGATTTCTAAAAATTAAAAAAAAACACGAATAGACTTGGGAAAAAATATTTCTTTAATTATAATACATTTTTAGCATCTTCTAATTTCTAAACCATTGAATATTTTTATTGCATCATCATATGGAAAATGTTCTATATCTACTTTTTCATCAGCTATTCTCATTAGGTTGCTCAAATGTTCATCAGTTAAATCTGTTACGATATTTTGTTTTAATTCGGTTTTGGGTGCTAAATGACAGATGCTGAACTATTCGGAATCACTAATTAAATTTGTAGCATTGTGCACGTATTTTCCTATCCTCTACATCTGCCAGTATGTAGAGAATAACTTCAACGAACTTCACTATGCTATAACATTGTTCATGCTTCTTGTTAGGTCTTCCAGCATAGTTTTCACTGACTTCAACTTTTACAAATTGCTGTAAATTGTCGGTGAGGGAGTTCGGTAATACATTTACAGCTAAAAATGGAGCTAACTTTAAACAACTTATTATAAAGGACTCATTTTTTGTTCCTCAACACTTGTCATAGCTGTTTTCATGTCTTTTTCAAAATGGCGGATTTTATTCAAATTCGAAATTTTTTCCAAAATTCGAGTGATTTGCGCATTTTAAAATTGGTTAATAGAGTGCGCGAACTTCTCGCATTAATAATTTTTTAAGGCGAGAAAAGAAAAAAATATGCGAGATTCTCGCGTTTTCGCGCTGTAGTGAAAACTGTGAAAGTTTTTTTGTATGCTGACTGTCAGTTTTTGCATGCATGAATGTCAGTTATATAATTTTTAGGATGTTGAAAGTACTTTGATCTGCAAAGATTTAATTTGGAATATAATTTGAAAAAGAATAATCTTGTTTTTTAAATATAGAATTATTTGAATTAATTATATTTCTTTACTTATTTAAAAATAGTACTATGATCTTTAAATTCCATCTTTTGTTTAATCAGTCTATGAAATGAAATAATCTTTTGTATTGATTGCATTGTGGTTTGTTGTTTATATCTTGCAAAAAAGTACTGTGTTATATTATTTGCAGGCATTCGATGATAAAAACTCTAAATGTAAAGTGGTTATTGGTCTTGTTTTAATTTCTTTGACCCTGCATTTAATATAACAGAAACAATATTTTAAATTATTAGTACAGTTATGAAGAAATTTAGTATCTATTCTTCATCATTTAAGTTTTCACATTCTTTGTACTTTTAAAATCATTTATTTTTCTAAAAAATCTTCCTCCTTTCTAACACTAAATATTAATACTTTAACATGCGTTATTTAAGGTGATGGTATAACATTACTCTTTTAATTTTCTAATATTTTCTGTGTGTAACTCTTCCTGCTTTATGGTACTAAATTTTCACTCTTCATTTCTTATTAACACAGCTGCAGATGTGGAGCTACATTGTCAAAATGGTAATTAACTCATTTATTAACTTTGTGGCTTGATATCTCTCTCCTTAGAGCTATTAATTATTTGTCTTGTGTTTATTGCATTTTTCTTGTGATAATATAATTCAATTATTGCTGTTTTACGTTATTTATTTTTAACCCAAAATAAAAATTCTCTCTTAAACCAACACATTAAGATCTGAGTAAAATTGTGCAGAAGTTTCATTGCTATGTAGTACTTACTCATTGAATAGCATATTGAGAAACAATTTTTTTTTAGGAGAGCAAATAACTTAATCCTTGAGCATTATAATATTATTATTATTAAAAAAAATTTTTTTTTTGATTTTTTTTCTCTGTTCGGTTTGGTTATTTTGCCAAGTCAAAAATAACACAAAAATTTATTTCAATCGTCTTAGATTTTCATTTTATGTGTTCCAGTTTTTTTTTATGTATGAAATTGGTTTAATGTATTAAATTTTATTTTAGTTCATTTCAATGTTTTTGTCATTATTTAAAAAAAAAAGAAAGAGAGACTTTTCTTATTTATTATACATTTTTAAAAAACTAATTTCTGAAAATAGGTTAGTTTATTTGCAGAAGCAAATGTGTCAATCTTAACAAAAAGTACAATGCCAAATAATAAATTCTATGCCAGTAAAAAAACAAAATTAAGAAGAAAAAAAACCTCCCTAAACAAAAAAGGAGAATTGGTTGATTCCAAAGTAACATAGGGTAAATCAAAAATTTAAGTCTTCAAAGGAGTTGAAATTGATGTTTATTGTTGTACTACATTTAGCTAACTCACTAAATTGATGCATTCCTGAAATTGAAATGTGCTATTACTGTAGCTTTGATTTAATAACTGTAGCAAGTGGATGCAGATTTAAATTGTGCTATTATTTTGCATTTTTTTTTATCTTCTGTATTGTGTTTTTTTTTCTTTGGCGTATTATGTGTGTGTAGATAACTGTTTCATATAAAAGGAAGTTAATGTAATATTCCCACTTGTAAGAAAAATAAGCTTTTTTTAATATGTCCTGCAGCTTGGTGAATTTTCCCTAATGTTCTTAATTAATTTGTTTATATTATTCTGCATAACTTTGTAGTACAAATTTAATAATAATTTGACTAATTTTCCTTTATTTTATCTTGTCATGCTTCTCGTAGGAGAAAGTGAAAAACTTCTAATTGATGGTAATTCTTGTTAATCTTGACCTACTAGTTTCTTTGTAAATTAAAATTACATTCTATGATTAATTTTGAAAAATTTCTTTCTTTCCAATACTAATATAATGTTGGGTCCGATTTTTTCTTAGTTCTTGATCGACCTTCTTCAAGGATGTCATTTCTTGACCAATTTTTAAAAGATACTTCTCAAAGGTTAACACATAGTGATAGTGGAGAATCTGCTGGGGCAGGAGATGAAGCTGATGTAGAAGATAATCAACCAGCTTCTGGTGGAAGTAGTAAATCAACAGCATCAGAAGTAAGTGTGGTATGTAGTATTGTTTTTTAACTTTTTAGGGTTTGCTTGGTTTGTTTTTAAAATGTTAAAGTTTAATTGTAAAAGTTCTTAATTTTTAATCCTAAAGCTCAAAAAAGAAATAAAATTGAAACTTGCTATTAACTTAATTGACTTTAACTGTTTATTTTTAATATAAAATTTTTTTTGAGCCTTTTAGTTTGTTGATGCATTTTATTCTAATTTTTTTAATTGCCTATAATCTTGAAAATATGTCTACGTTATTTCAGTTTTGCAAGTTGCGTACGCTTTTCTTTTTTTTAACTTTTTATTTTTAATGCAAAATGATTATTTTTATGCAAGAACTCACCTAGTTTCAAATGTTCTTTTTTTGAAAGTATTTTTTATTTATTTTTATTGAAAAAAAAACAATGCAACTATTCTAACATTTTAAATTCAAAATTAACATTAATATTTTTCATTTTGAAATCGTTAACTAAATTGTCATATATTAATATCATATTAAATGTATTTAAATTGATTTACCAATAAATAAATTATTGCACTACTTCATAGTTGAGAAGTGTGTTTTGTGAAATTTTTGTATACTTTAAGTTAAACATAGTTCATTTCACTGTTTGTAGAACAAAATAAGTCTGTAAAAGTATTTAACAGAAGGTTTTGTATTGGTAAAATGTCAGAATATATATAGAATTTGAAAATATTATTAGTTTATGGAAAAAAGTAAATATATATTTTTTTGAACAACACAAATACAAAATTTATGATTGTTGTGTTTGTATTTTATTATTAACTTTAAAAATATTGTACTATATTGAGATAGATAAGGTTAAATTATAAAATAATTTATAGCATTTTTATTATTTATGCATTTTATGCAATATTTAGCCGATATCAGCATTTTATCTTGAAATTGAACTTTAGTTGTTAAATCTTTAAAAAAGATGATCTTACTATTCTATGGTAGAAATTATTTTACTGCAATGTTCACTTGTTTGAATCTGTTGATTACCTAAGTGGAATTATATTAAAATGACTGGATGAATTTAAAGTTTTTTGTTTTGTTGTTGGAATGAATATTATATGATAATTTTATATTTTAGGACAATTTTACCTTTTCACCTGTGATAGATTCAAGGCCAGTGATCAATTTATTAACTCCAAAGGTAATAACATTGTTCTTCTAAAAAATTAGTTGCAGGGCTGAAAGTCTTTAATCTTTTAATGGATTTCTGACTTTTTGAAAAACTTTAAGACAGAGTGAGATTGAACAGCATAAATAGAACAACATTTTTCACCAAATTTTGCATACCAATTTTTGTAGAAAAATTGGTTTTTGTTTTTAAAGTTTAAGCATGCTCATTTAATTTTTTATTTACTGGACCTGAGAGAAATTAGAAGACCTGAGAGACACCCAAGATTAATTTAAAATTTTTTAATCTTGAGAATTTTTGTAATTTTAACCAATGAGTGATTAGCATTTAACAGACAGTCACTTAACGTTCATGGACTCTATCAGCTCAATGTTATATCTTTTTTTAAGCATACATACATTATCCTTGAAAGATGTCTGTTATTTTAATTAATTATCCTAAATTATAGAAAAATGATTTATTTTATGCAAATCTTTAGTAATTTTCTAAATGTTTTATAAGCGTTTTTTTTTGAAAAAGAGTTATACTCATAGTATTTGAAACTATGTTTCATGAATTTTTTTATTATTTATTTATTTATTATTATTTTTGTTTTTGCAGCCTAAGGCTCATCAATTTTTGATAAGAACATTCCCAGCTCCTATCAAATGCAATCATTGTACCTCATTAATGATTGGTCTCTGTAGGCAAGGTGTAGTTTGTGAAGGTAAGGTGCTAATTTGTTTTTAGTTTTTATGTTCGTAAATACTTAACCATTTGTATTTTTGTTGATTTATACTTAATGTTGTAAGAGTGAATAATCCATTTAGTTTAACTGTCTAGTCTTCCTAATTCTCAGATCGTTGACAAAGTTTTATTCTGAAAAAGAAACTTTTGATCAAGCTAATAAGTTTTTATAGTAACATGGAGAATAATTGCATTTGTGTGTTAAAAGTTTTAGACCAAGAAATGAAATTACATCTATATTTTTTATAATTTTTTTAAAATGTACTATGTATTAAATTTTCAGGTAATAAAATTTTTTTACAAAAATGTTTGGAAATGCATTTTATTTTGTTCAAGAAACTGTGTTCTCAAGATTGTTGCAGTTTTAATTTAATGCAATTTTAATTTTAGATTTTTCAAAAATTCAAGTTTTTTTTAATATTTATTTTTATCTAAAAAAATTAAAGTAATTCATTCAAACTGAAAAATTTTTCTAAATGTAAAAAAGATAACTTTATAATTAAATTTGAAATATTAAAATATTATTTTGATTGAGAAGTCAGTAGTGTTTAAAAAATGAACAAATATATTTGATTTTTAACAGGTTGAATACCTAATATTTTTTAAACTTTCTATTGAATATTTCAGAAAAATTTATTGCATAATTATTTGAAATAAAATGTAGTTTTTTACATTTTTATTCAGCAGAAATGAAATATTTTGTCTGAATTTCTTATTATTCTTTAAAATCAGATATAATCATCTTTTAATTTCTAAATTTCTTAATCTCTAAATTTGTGTTTTTAATCTAATAACTTATTCTAATTAAAAAAAATTTATTTTAAGCAAAGCAATAAAGACAAATAGAAGTTATTTTTTCAAAGTTATAGTCTGTTTCATTTAATAAGACAGAGTAATAATATGATTTTAAAAAATCTCCATTATATTGTTTTATTATTTAATAAAGCAATAATTAATTTAAGTCAATTATTTTGTTTGAAAAAGTATGTATCTATTAAAAATGTTTTTGTAGTAAAATTTGCTAATATGACATGCTTAATTTTTTATAGTTTGTGGCTTTGCTTGCCATGTAACTTGCCAAGAAAAAGTTCCAGCTGTTTGCCCTGTTCCATCTGACCAAAGTAATTTTCGTTTCATTCTTTTGTATTTATTTTTGTCTACTAATGATTTTCTAGGTTAGCATAGTTTTTTTTCCTATGTGAAATAAAATTTTTCTTTGTTTCTGAAATTTTATTTTTAAAATTCCTTGTAGAGTTAGGAAATTTATAAATGCTGATTATATTTTTTGAACAGGTTTAAGTAATGTTTCAACTTAAATAGTGAACAGAGTGTCTATAGGTGTATCATGTTTTATTACTGAATACTAAAGAATATATGCAAGGTAAAAAATAATAATAATAAATATTTAAGCAAGTTATGTTATGTGGTTTTCTGGATTATCTGAGTTTAAAATTAAGTTTATTCAATTGTAATTTAATACTTGTAACTGAATCATTACAGGGTGTTTTGATTTTATTATTAAATATCGAAAAATGAAACAATTCAAGCATAACCTGACTCTAGCAGAGATTTTTTTAGTTGTTAGAGTTTATTATTACCTTATAAACATGTTTCTTGTATGTAAATAAATTCTCAGGTTTTTTAAATGAAATTTCAAGTATTGAAAGGAAAGAACAATATTTTAGTATATTTTATTGATTTTCTTTAAATCTTTTTTTGTTCTTGTTAATTTGTTCTGAATTAAAATTTTTAAAATTAATTACTAACAAAATATTTATCCTTATTTTTTTTTCAGTTAAGAGACCAGTTGGTATTGATCCTACTCGTGGCATTGGTACAGCATATGAAGGCTATGTTAAGGTTATTCAATATCTCTCTACTAATATGAAATATTAAAGAATAGTTATTCCTTTATACATGAAAATTTTTTTCTTTCTCATAGGTTCCTAAACCAGGCGGTGTTAAAAAAGGTTGGATGCGACAGTTCGTTGTAGTCTGTGATTTTAAATTATTTCTTTACGATTTAGCACAAGATAAAAGCACTCAACCAAACACTTGGATCTCTCAAGTGTTAGATATGAGGTATGTTTTATGTAATTAGCTATATGGATTCTCTATTTAAATTAAGATGCTTTTGTAAAATAATAGGGTTTTATTTAATAGTTAATATAATGATTCTCAATGTTAATAATATAAATTAAATCTAAGATGTTATTTATTTTCCCATCTTAAATTTGTTATAGAGATGAAGAATTTTCGGTTAGCTCTGTTTTGGATTCTGATGTTATTCATGCGAATAAAAAGGATATACCTTGTATATTTCGAGTAAGTAAAGCCATTTAATTTATAGTTTATTATTTTGCTAAACATATTGCTAATATATACTAATACATGAAAAAAGTATGCACTATTAGTGTTACAAAGTAATGTTTAAGCTAGAAGAAAAATAAAATGATTCCAAAAATTAATGTATCATTACTGAGGATGGTAAGACTGTATTTATTTTAGGGTGTATACTCCCATCACACTAAAATGATTTGTTAAATTTTAATAGTTTTTATTGCCCAAATATTAATTTTTAAGTCCGAATATGTGTCTAATAAAGTTAGTGGTTATTGAATAAGCCTTATATTATTTAATAAACTACGTATTTCTTATGTTTTTTCCTAACAATCACATGGTTGAGTTAAAAGCATTTGACTTAGTTTATTATAATAAATTAAAGTTGTCATTTTATAAATGTTTAAAAATTTTTTTTCATTGACTGTATGATGCCATTTAAGAAAAAATTGCTTTGAACTTCACTAAAATCGAGAATGTAATTTTATGATTCTAACTTTTTTTTACTACAATTTCAATTTCAAATAACTTCGCTTTACACAGCAAAATATAGAATTTAATTATTTTTCCTAAACATTTTAGTTATAAATCTGTAAAGATTAATTATTGGTTATAGGTATTAGTTAGTTGTTCAGTATGAAAAGTCTTTTGCAATAGGATATTCCATTTGATATTCCTTCGAAATTTTTTATTTTCTTGAGGTACACAAATAAATAATGTAGATAATGTACTTGTTTTATATCCTGTAATACATCTTTACATATATACATGCATGCAAAGAGAGAGAGAGAGAGTACAGTATATATACATATAACAAATTAAATTGAAGCCAAATATAAAGTTAATATAACTTTAAATTGCATAATTCTATTTGTTAGTACATTTGTGAAGTATGTTAACACTAGTTATTGTTTGAAAAGCTGTGCAATGGGTGTTCATTAATTTTATAGTTTTTTTAAACATTATGTTAATTAATAATTATTTACAACTGTCTTTTATCTTTGCTATTTTATATATCTTTTTTATAAACTGTAGTTACTTTCCACAAGTAACTAAATCAGTTCTTTAATTGTACACGTTTATATTCTTTCAAAAACTGTAAATATTTTTAGGTTACAACATCAATGCTAAATCCTCCTGGCATGAAAAATCATACATTGATGCTTGTGGAGAAAGAAAGTGAAAAACTAAAGTGGGTAGATGCGTTAAATGAACTTCATCGTATTCTGCGTCGAAACAAACTGTCTTCTAAAACTGTAAGTAGATCATATTTTAAAACATTTACTGTGAAACTCATTTATTACAAGTCCAAATATGTCTTTCTTTTAATGAGGACATTTTTACGAAATCAAAAAGTGTATATAAACCTTTGTTATTACAAGCATAGCTTTGAATAACTGAATAATTTTTTCCAAACTTCTTGATAACTAAGTCTAATTTAGTAGATCCACCAGACATTTTTTTTATCTGACTGTTTATGGTCATTTAATTTTACTTATTAGGGTTTTAAAAACCTATTTTTGTTTATATTTTTAAAAAATAATGCATAGTTAAACTGTCGAGATAAACTATTGTATTGTTATGTCGCTATTATGACTAACATTTGTCTTCAAAGTTCAAATGTATAAGTGGATGGAACATATGAGGGAAGTAAATAAGTAAATGTTCGAATAGGCAAGTCATTGAATCAACTAATTATTTTGTAAGTAAACAGTCAGTTGGTACAATAACAGATATTTTTTTTAATAAGAATGTATTAATTATTTTGAGTGCATTTATGTATTGCTTAGTAAGAGTTAGTATTTTTTACATAGAGCTCATTATAATGAAATATTATGAGAAATATATAGAGTGATTTAGTAAAGAAGTTACATATTTTTGAAGAGAGATAAGGTATGCCATAAGGATAGAAAGTTGCATAGCGGTCCATGGCCAAAAATGTCATGGTTTACTACTAAAGGTGCTGTCCTATTATGGATTAACTAACTCTTCCACTGTGGCTAAGGGGCTAAAACGCTCACCTTCCTATAAGGTGACAAGGTTTGAATCCTGACAATGATTGGCCAATTTGAATTGTGTTCCCGGTTCACACTGCCCACAGTGCTAGATTAAATATTTTCTGTGGTTGACAAATTTTGGGTTAAAATCTTCTCACTGTTGGGCTAACAATTTTTATAATTTTCCACTCCATGTATCATAAATGCAATTAATGTTGTAAAAAAAAGGTTTAAAAAAATTGAGAATTTCTTCTTTAAGCACACTCCAAGCATTAGCTGGTGGCAGATCGTGGGTGTTTATAACATAGCAGAGAAATGTCCAAAATAAATAAAAATATTTTGTTCATTAAAATATGAAAATTTTGAACAGCAGGTTACAATAACTTTCTTAAATTTAAACATATATTCTGACCCATTTTTACGCACGTCCATGACAAGGAAGGAGAAAACTATTGTGTGAATTGACAATGTTGTTGAAAGTAATTAGAGAGAGCTAAGTGTAGTTCAAAAGAATTAATTTATATGCATTTAATGCATATAAATTCATTGTTCCTCTGCTGCTGTGCTTCCAAACGTTGATGTTTCTTTTATACACAGGGTTTGAACAACCATTGGGAACACTGCTTTCAAAATATCCCAAAAATTGATGTTGTAATATAATTACTGATTATTTTTATCCTAATTTACAATACTTTCATAATAAAAAAGCATTGCTTTGTTCTATAAAATTTAGTGTCAATGGTTACTAAGCAATTCTTCATTTTTATAATGCGTCCTTCCCTATCTCTCCTATATGTTTGTAATTGCGGTACTGACTCACCCTGTCTATAAATTAGAAGGATAACATAATAATGCACTTTTTATTTATTAAACCTTTTTAATTGTTCATCCAACTCAATTTGAGGGTACAACCAGTTATTTTAAATTTTGCTAATTGTATACATAACTCTATCCTTATGTCTTTAAGAGGATTATAATTAATGTTTTTTCTAAAAGTCTGAACTCTTATTTTTCAGGTATTTCAAGCCAAGGAAATTCTTGATAACACATTGACTCTTATTAAAAGCGCTACATCAGCTGCAGTAATAGGTAATAGTTTTTTAGTAGCCGAATCCTTTAAAATTAAATTATTAATTAAGTTTTCTCAATTTAGTTAAAATCTTTACAAATAAATTTTAAAAAACTACATAAATATTTTTATAGATCCAGAGCGAATTGTGCTTGGCACTGAAGAAGGCTTATACTGTGTGGATTTAGACAGAGAAGGTATAGTGTTTAATAATAATTTTTTTAAATGTCATTAACATTGTATGTGTCATAATGGTTTTTAGATAAAAGAATTTTATAATTTCTTTAAAATTATATAGAAATAGCCAGGGTTGGTGATGGAAAGAAGGTTTGCCAGCTTGAGTATATTGCTGAGGAACAATTATTACTTGCTGTAGCAGGTGAGTTATTTTAATAATTTTAAAATTTATTAACTTTCATGTTATAGACTCTAATAATTTTGAATTTATGCTATCAAATTGCGTGATATAACAAATTAATTGTCATTTCCATAATTTGACTGTAGATTTAGCTTTGTTACCTTAAATTTGTTGACATTTAGTAATGCTAATACAAAAATAAATTTAAATTGTTTATTTTTTTAACCTTAATTTAATTTTGGTACACTATAGTTTTAGTGGGAATAGAAAAATCTAAAGATAAAGAATAAAAATAGAAAATATTTGAAGTTTTTGTCATTTTATCGTCACTTTTAATATTTTTTTTATATATAATAATGAATTTAAAAAATTTAAATTCTATATGGAGCATTTTTTTTACAGAGTTTTGATTGTATTTTATTTAACCTTTTAATTTTATTGACTTTTAAATTTTATTACTGTTATTTAAAACAAGAGTTTCATCTGTAAACATAGGGAAGCAAAGATTTTTGCGATTGATACCTGTTGGTGCTCTTGATGGACAAGATGTTGAATGGACCAAAGTGCCTGATACTAAAGGTTGCATTACCTTTTGTACTATGTGTATAAACAATGGCAACACTTCTCTCTATCTATTTTGTACAGCAATAAAGAAACAGGTATATAAAATATTTTGTTTACTTTTGATTAAATATATTATAGTTCTTAAGGCAGGGTTTGTTGGTTTAAACTAATGTTGTTAAAAGCATGGTTTAAACCAAATAGTTTTTTATTTTTTTTGAAAAATAAGCATGTTTTTTTTAAAAATAATCGTTTTGAAAGTTTAATTTTATATTTATATAAATAGTTTTAGTTTGAATAGAACCAAGTGAAAAATATTAAATTTTCACATAAAAATTCTACATTTTTAAGATTAATGAGAATCTGTATTTTCTTTAAAGATAAAAATAAACATATAATTTTTCAATGTTTAGATATCATAGTTTTCACGCAAATATATCTATAAGAATAAATCAATGTGTGTAAAAGTGTTCTGAAAATGTTTAATATAAGAAATAGCATCACCAAATTAATTTTGTGATCGTTAAAGATAAAATATGTTAAATAATGTAATTAGTGAACAAGTTAAAATAAAAAGTTGGAAAAACATTTTTTTTTCTTATCTTGTTAAAGACACTTGATGCTTGTTACAATCAAAAGCATAAATGAAAATAAAGTGCTTTTCTATGCTTTATTTACTTTTCAGTTCATGTTTGAATTTTTTTTTCTGTTATCAGTGTAAACAAATTTGTTTTGTATTATGATTTTATTAATTTTTCGATTAGAAATAAACTGATTTTTTTTAAATAAAACATTGATTTAAACAAGCTGAATTATTTTACAAATAATTTTTAATTTAATTGTAAGAAATATTTTTATACAATATAATTAATAAATGCATTCTTTAGGGTGTTTTTTCCTTTGTACAAAAATGTACATACATTTTTGTTTTCAAATTTTTTCTGAGAAAAATACGAAAAAATAAATTTCAAAATATTAAATTGTAAACGTTGATTCTTATTTCATTATTATATTTTCCAAAAAAAAAATTAAAATTGTTATAATAAATTATGAAATAATATTATCGAGAAATATTAAATTTTAATTTATTTTAATTAAAAAATTTTCATATCATATTATAATTACACTAAAATTCATTATAATTGCTGAAAAATCATTAAATTCTGAAAAAAAACCTTTTTTTTTATTTGACAATAACTTCGTCAAAAAACATGTTTTTTTGGAATTTTTTTTTTAAATGAAAGCTAAAAGTCCAAATTTTTCAATGGTATAATAAAAATTAACAATATCTAACCCCTTTGTGCCCGTACATCGCGTCAAACTTCACAAAAAATTAATACAATTTTCTATGATTGTTTAGAGTGTAATTGTACATAGTTGCAAAATATATTAATTAAAAACAATTAAAGTACATAAAAGTAGAGATTTTATGCTTCAAAATGAGCTAAAGCAGAAGCATTTTTGATCATTTTTAAAGTAGACACTTTGAATTTTGCCATTTTTTTTATAAGTTTCTAGGTGCACTGATACTTTTGTGCAGTACTGTATAAAATAATGAAAAGGATATGCAAGTAAATTATTGTATTTCACAAATAGGTAAAAAAATAATGAACTAAAAAAATAAATAAATTAAATGCCGAAAAGAGTGACATTAAACTTTTATGTTATAATTTTTCTTTTATAATATTTTATGTAAAATAGCTTGTAAAACAAATATATTTCAATTATACGCATTTAGTTTTATGCTTATTTAAATGCAGTGCTCATATACAGACTTGTACTACCCAAAGTAACTTAAATATTTTTTTTCAGCAATGTTTTCTGATCTAAACTAATTTAATCTTTATTAGTGTTATCCTTTAAAATATTAGTGTTATCCTTCATTAGTGTTATCCTAATTCAATCTTTATTAATATTAATTGACAAATAGTATCCCAATCTTAAACATTCATAAGCAAGTTGAGCTTGAAAAATATAATTATGATTTTAATTATTGAATAATTAGTCTTTAATAACTAAATAATAATTTTAAATTTGAGTTTATTAGAGTTTTTAACATTTTCTGAGTGTTTTAATTAGGATAATTGAAATACTGTAACGTCAATTTAAACACCATGATCCATATGATGCCACAAATGGCTGCATTACTCAAATGGCAATGATGTTCATCATCTGACTAAAAAAGTGAAAAAAGTGTGTTCAATCTTCTATTCTGTCTGGAGATCAGTTTATTCAGGAGCTTATCTACATGGGATGAGGAAAATAATTTTAAAAATGAATTTAGTCTGAATCGTGTTGCTTGGAGAATAAGTTCTAGTGTTCAAAGCATGCCAACTTCTTTTCACTATAATTACAAAGCTAATGAAGTTTTCATTAACAATTAGTGTTGTGCGTGTTAACCATGCTACCACTTTGTGTTCTTTTGTCATCTGCTAAGTTTATGTAAATTTGGATTTTAGTTTATTAGCAAAAGTGCTAAAGTTACTTATCTTATATTTTATTTTTACTTTTCTGAAAACTTATATTCATAGCTTTAATTCTTCAACCTCATTGGTAATTATTTTTGAAACCTTATTTAGTCTTAAATTTTATGTAAGCTGCAGGAAATTATAATATTTATTATTATTCACTTTAAACTATAATAGAAATTGTTAGACTGAGAAGTTTCACTTCTGAAAGTTTTCAGATCATATCCAATTTTATTGCTTAGGTGCTCTTTCATATTTTAAAGAATAAAATATGCTATTTATTACTTAATTTTAAATAATTAGTTTTCTAAATATTAATATGATTATTATATTCTTATTTTTGTACCTCAGATTATGTATTTGTTGATTAATGTACTTATTGGATAATGCTTTTCATATAATTGGCATTGTTTTTGTGATTTGAGTTTTTTCTATCAGTCTCTGTTCTGGCTTTTTCTCTGATCTATCTATCAGTTATTCTTTCTTCTGTTCATTTTGTATTGTGATTTTTTTTACATTTTACTTCAGTATTTTATGTATGATCTCTTTTAATATTTCATACAAAATTCAGTCTTGATTAAAAGAAAGTTTAAGTGTGCTTCTGACTATTCTATAAACTTATGATTTGGAATAATTCATTTTGGAATGCTTAAAAGGCTGCATGTAGAGATAGTTCTTGTAGAGTAGTTTGATTGACTATTTTAAAAATTTTGTGCTCGTAATGGAATTAGAATACTTTGCTTCAGTCTGGTACTTTTTGCTTTGAGTACGCTTAGAAACAGATTTTCCTTCAAACTTTTTTTTAATTAAATTTCTAACTTAAAATAATGAAGAGCAGTTTTTTATAATCACATATGCAGCTAGGAAGGAAAATGAAAAAGGTAAGACTGAATACTTAAAATACTTTTTTTTTATTTTTTATTTATTTTTTTATTTTTAATCTCTGTATTTTTTATTTCTCATCATAATTCCAATTTCAATATTGCTTTGGAAAATTTTCTGGTTATAGACAAATTCAAGCAATTTATCTTATTTATTTCTCTGTAAATATCATCAGTCTATTTTTTTTTACCTAATTTTTATTCTGTTGAACATCATTCTGCTTAATTTTCTTTTATATTTCCCACAGTTCATAAGTTTACTACAAGTCTTGCTCATTATGTCTGTTTTTGATAGATCAGAAGAAAATTGAATTTGATTATTGACACTGAATTAGTTAAGACTGAAATTAATGAAAATTGTTCTCAAAATGTTTTATCTAAGATTTCTTTACTTGTTAGTCGCCAGTTAAAATTATGTTCCTTGCAACTTGAATGTTAAAAACTAGTTTTGATTCAACTAGAAAACTTCTTTCTCTCTATCTTTTAATTGTTTTCATTCTTACTTTCACTTTATAGGTTATAGACCACCTTACTGGATCAAGATTTGATTATAAAATCAAATTTAATGATTTCTTGGTGCTTGAATGATTTTCTTTTTCTCTTTCAATTGCCTATGTCCGAAGGATTTTTTTACTAAATGAAAACCAATATATTACAAATTAATTAATGCTAATATAGAAGTTTGGGAAAGGTTGCTTTGAGCTCTTAGTTCTAAAAAATATTTATTATCTCTTGATTCTTTGTGGACATACTTTAACTGACAATGTTTTTTTTACTATGCCTTATATTATAGATGTAGACAATGCCTTATATTATAACTGCAGAAATTTTGATTTTCCTCCCAAGGTTTTAGTTTATGAAGTGAATCGAACAAAGGGTAGACACCATCGACGAAAAGAGATATGCTTACCTGTTCCAGCGGTCACTTTAGATGTCATCGGAAATAGATTATGTGTTGGTCTTCCATCAGCTTTTCATTTATATTCTGTAATTGATGACAGCCCTCCTATCTGTAAGATTTCTATTCATAATTATTATTAATTAATGAAGTGCATCAATTTATGCTTAATTAATTAATTAGTTTAGCTTCATATTTAAATATTTTCTGACTTCAAAAATCTAATTATAATGGCTAAACTTTGAATTTTGGTGAAATATTTTGTTTTAAAAAAGTAGAATTTAGTTGTATGCATTCTCTGGGGCTTTAATTTTTATTAATTTGGTTTTTCAATTGATTCATTTATGAAAAATGTTATTTTCTTCATTTGTATTAAATCTATTGCTCTATAATGAAATTATTTTGTTAAATTACATTCCATAAAGTAGGACCATTACTTCTTTTTTTTCTTTTAAAAAGAAATTTTTAAAGTTGTTTTGTTTACTTGCTGCTTTTTTAAATTTGAATTTCTATTTTATCTAACAGTCTTTCTTAGTCTGTCTTTAAATAAAATTTTTTTTTAAAAAGAAAACATGTAAGGGTTGTTTTAATAAAGAAGAAATTTGCTGTTTAATCTATCTTTGTTTAATCTATCTTTATTTTTAATAGAAATATATCTGAGTCTCTGAGATATTCTATATATGGGTCATTCTCATGAAAACTGTCATTTTTCAGTTCATAAAATCCCAAAAAAGTAAAGTGAATAAAAAGCTCTGAAACTTTTTATATTAATAGAAATATGTAATGGCATTATAAAGAAAGTATATATCCTATAAATTATACTTAATATTTTAATTAATTAATTTTTTAAATAATTAATTTATAATTAATTAATTTATAATAATTAATAATTAATTAATTAATTTAATAAATAAATTAATTAATTTAATAAATTAATTTATTAATTTTTTAATTTATTTTTCAAATTAATTAATAAGTAAATTAATTATTTTCACTATTTAAAAAGTGAGGGAATGACACTAATAGTGAGGGAATGATATTTTATTTTAATACATGTTTTTATCTAAGTTACATCTACCTAAAGTTTGAAAATGATAACATACTAAGTATATCTAATATTTATTATAATTTAGTCTTATATATTTAATAGTTTTTACAGGTTTGGGAAATAAAATTGGCTGGCACGATTGAACAAAAAAAAATTTAATAATATACTCATCTTGAATCATTCCCTCACTTCAGCGTCATTCCCTCACTTTATACACTAGTGAGGGAATGACGAATTCAATAAAATTTAAAAATAACAGTTAGGCCTAATTAATTTCTGAAGTCAATCACATACAATTATATTCATACAAGAAAGCAACATATAATTATCCACTTTCTCGATGAAGTTGTATTTTATTTTACTCTAAAAAATGACATGAGGGAATGACAAATGTAAAAAATTTTACCTGGTTTGATTCATTCAAATTTATTCCACAGCAAAGCTTCTTTAAGTTGAAGATGGAAACATACTGCAATTTTGTTCTATGATGCCAGTTGTTAACTTCTGAAGTTTTTATTAAAATATTTTTATTCTAAGAAGATTGCAGGTGATAAGAACATTGTTGTGAGGGAATGACGCGAAACACTGGGGACAAAGTTTAAAATAGTGCTGTGTTAATATTTTTATCAGAAATTAAATTTAAAATTGATTTTCTGAATTCTATATTTCAGTATTCTGAAATAAAAAACACGAATTTGTAAAAAAAAAAATTTTATTTCAGAAACAATTTTTTTCTTTTTTTAAATCAGCAGTGGGGACAAGTGAGGGAATGACATATTGGTATATTTTAATTACCTAAAATAAATAAAAAATAAAAATTGATAATTTTATTTTTATTCTTTTGTTAGCTTGCATTCTGAAGGACACTTTCCCTGATTTTTTTTTTTTCGTAAGCTGTAAAACAAACATAAAATATGCTGGGGACATGAAAATGACTGTTTTAGTGAGAATGACCCATATGTTTAAAATATTTTGAAAAAAAAAAAGTTTTAATATAAGGCAATTGTTTATTGTATGTAAGTTTGTTTGTGATATGAAGCATTTGACATTCTCTTATAACTTTGTAAAAAAGAAACTTCTTGATTTTTCAAGAATATTTTTTATTGAATATATTTGTGCATGAATCTCAAAATTATTTTACAAATGTTGTAAGTTTTGTTTTTAAAATTTCAGCTCTTGTGAATACAGACTCTACAGATCTAACATTCTTCTTACATAACCTGATGGATCCCTATCTCGCTGTTGAACTACAGAATAATGAATATTTGCTTGTATTTTCCCGTGAGTAAAACAAATTTTAAACACATTTTCTTGATAATTGTAGCATGAGATTCTCCCCTGATTCACAATTTCCCTCTTCTTTTTTTATTTTCTAATTTTTTGCCATCTTTCTGTGGATGTTGGAAAATAACCACACTACCAAAGTTATCATGCACTTATTGAAATTCAATAAAAACTAATTAATATCAGCCTGAAATCACCTGACTGATAAAAATAGAATTCAGTTTTTGTTGGTAGTTTGGATTTTTCAATGTGGCTTACTAGGGGAGGTTCACTTATAAATTTATGTATAGTTATATGTTATGTCTATCTAGAAAGTTTCTGTTTGCAGTTTTATCTATGTCTCATATCAATTTTTAATAGTTTTATTTTTATATAGTTGAATTTTATTTAATTGCAACTTTGTTTTTAGCATTCCAATGAACCTAGATATTTTGTTTATTAATCTATTTCTTTCTTCATGAAAAATTTTTCCCCTTGTTGAAAGTTCTAAATTCCATAGGATCAAAAGCTGTAGGATCATTATACGTAGTATTGAATTTGAAACTTTTCAGTCAATAGAAAAAAAATATTAAATAATTATTAAAATCATTATGCATGTAGTACATATTAGTAGAATCACTATACATAGTATTAAATTTATACTTTTCAGTCAATGGTGAAAAATATTGTTAGTTAATTTGCTGTTTACAAAATTTTTACTCTTTTTTTTTCTTCCAAACGTATATTTTTTTAAAATTTCATTTCATTTTCCTCCTGCTTGTTATTGATAAGCGTCTACTCAACATCTCATAATCATATTGTTTTTTCCCTCCTTATATTAGAATTAGGAATATATGTTGATGGCTTTGGTAGAAAATGCAGAGAAAAAGAATTAATGTTTCCTGCACCTCCAGTTGCTGTCAGTAAGTAAATTGTCATTGTGATCTGATTGTTTATTTTATTTCATACTTTAAAATTTTGCTAAAACAATATCCTTTTAGGTTACACAGATGGTTATTTAAATGTATATAGTGAAACACATGTAGATATTTTTGATGCTTCATCTGGTGAATGGCTACAAACTTTGAATGTGAAGAAGGTATGTTCCAGTCATAAATTTTAAAAGATTTTTTGCTGTATATTTTACTTGCAACTGTTTAACTTCTTATTGTTTGTTTTGTGCTTCAATTTAAATTTCTTATAAAATTTTGAAAAACTATTTAAAGAAATTTTTGTAAACATCCTCTTACCAAACATTATTTTTTCATTTAATAATTTAAAGAAAAACCTATATTTTGTGAAGAAAAACTCAGGCCTGATTTCAAACTAAATTCAGCATTAACTATTAGTTAATGCTTTATTGGTTTTGTTAAGGTTGTCATTAGAATACGCAAAGATAGCTTCTTCTGTGATATTGGTAAAGCATGTTACTTTTGCTTTAAAATTGAACTGCCTGTTATACACTTTTGCAGTATTTTTATTAACCCTGTTTATAAAAATACTGCAAATTTCCCTGTGATAGAATTCGGTTGGATCCCTGTGTCTGCTAGGGCCTGTTGTTGGATTGAGCTTTTATTCTACTGGACATTAATTCAATGTATTTTTGCTTATACTGTCTATATTTCGTATTTTTACAAAATAATTGTGACTGAGAAAAATCTTCTATTACGATTTATGTTTATTTTCCGGAACATGATTATTTAGAACAAACCTTATTCAGTACAATGCCGACAGAGCAGGATATTTTTTTCAAATTGCTATATTGCATAAGTATTATAAAAATTCTGGTATAAACGAACCGGTTCTGTTACAAAAATTACAGATATTCTCGTCGTTTAAAAAATATTCTTGTACTCTAGTAGTATTATTTTATAGCAAAACCTTGAAAACAGAAAGGGAAAAAATTAAATTAGCCACTACTGTATCCCTAGAAAATACTACAATACTTTATTACTTACTATTTGCACTGTTGTCATGTTCACAATTGTTTATTTTTGTTACAATATTTTGCAGACTAAACCTTTGTGCCGCAATGGACTACTGTGTTTTTCATTAGCCACTGACATGCCACACATTATTTATTTACATAATGTATTACACCGGTCTAATAGAGTTTGTGTACCTGAAACAACTGCTCATCCTATAAAAAGTAGACAAAGTAAGGCTATGCTTAACAGAGTACGTAGACGATTTTCTGTTCGCGAGCCTGAAAGAACTGGAAAAGGGTAAATGATATTCATTATAACCTTTTATTACCATTACCCTGAATTGTGTAATAAACTTTATTCAGCAACAATATAATCAAACAATTTTTGTTTTATGTTATTTGAACTTAAAAATTATGTCATGCATAAAAATCAGTTAAAAATACAGTGTGATCTATTAAAAAAGTTTTTTGTGAAACAACTTAAACATTAAAACTAAATTAGCTTATATAGCTTTTTGTTGCCTTATCCATGTTTTTTTTAATTTTTTATTTATTTTTACTGTGTAAATAATTCAATTTCCATGTCAACTTTTGTCTTATACTGTTTGTTTGGCTTTTTAATTCTGCTATCTATCAAAATCAGTTAAATATTTAGCATAATATTTGAAAAGATTTTCATGGAAGTGGATGTAAGCAATTTCTTAAAAAGCTGAACTCCTTAAACTAGTGGGTTTAAATTATTTTTTATTAAAAAGCACGCTTGTATGTTAGACTTAAAGATTCTCTTGTTTACATAATTGTATCATACTCTGTTGACTTATGAAAAATTAATTGAAATACTGACAAACATAAACATTTATAAAGAAAATACTTATAAAACTGATCATGATGCTACTTTTTCATATTTAAGGCAGAAAAATTTAGCTTTTAAGAAGTTGAATATAGCACACGAATCTAGAGGTTTTTCCCTCTATAAGTTCTAACTTTCAAAATCTTTTGCATGATATTTTCTATATTTTGAAAGTAAAATTAGCATCTGCTGCTCAGAAAAAGTTAAACAGAATTTTGGAAGAAAGTTAGTTTAATATTGTGGAAATATGTTACAAAATTGAAATGCTAATATGAATTACTTTAATGGAAAAATTTTAAAACAAGTTGCATTATAAAATATTTTATATTCTATGGAATGCATATTTTTTGGATGTCCTGTTACCTTTTAATTTTTATGTATTATGTCTTTACACAAGATAATTCATAAATTCTTTTTCCCTAATACATTTTAGGAATGTGGATCGACGATCCCGGCTGATTTCAGGCCCGACAAATTTTAATCATATCTCTCACATGGGTCCTGGAGCTGGTATTCAACTTCAAAAACTTGTTGATTTGCCTCAGGTATTGCTCTTTTTACAGATATTTTTTATTATTTTTTATGATACAGTCTATTATTGTGCTGTAACTTCTATATAAGCAAGCTTTTTAAAGTAATGGACATGGAAAAAGATGCTTTACAAACAGTTTCTTGATATTTTTATGCAGTTTGAAGCTCCATTAAACTCTCTATTATTTTTTTTTTCTGTAACAGGAAAATTTTGAGATTTGCATATTTCTTTAGTTCTATCTAAATTCTTTAACAAATCCCCAATAGGCTGTTTATTAAAAGGAAATAAAAATAGGATAATATTTCATCTACTAATAAAATGAAATTATTTTTAAAAAATCCAATTGTACTTTAATAACACATCCACAAACTACAATGTTATATTAGCTTAAATAGGATAGTATTTCATCTACTTATAAAATGAAATTATTTAAAAAATCCATTTATACTTAAATAACACATCTTAAAACTACAATGTTATATTAGATTTTCTACAGTTTTTAAAAAAATATCTATTCACACTAAACCAGGTTTTTGACTCACTAGCTCAATATGTGTTAGTATTCTTAATTTGTAAATTTATATCTATGTGCTTTTCTTTTTAAAGTTATAGTAAAAAATGTGAAGAAAATATTTTGTTAGTTAAAAATTAAAGTAGTTAAATAAGGGATTAAAAAATAAATCTACATAATAGTAAAGTAATCTACATAATAGTAATATACTGTAAAAATCTACATTATTTTTATTTTGAAATGTTAACAACTATAAATCACTATAAAGTTTTGGGATAAAATTACATTACTTTTTTATTATTTTATCAGTATTAATATTTATTCTCTGAAAAAGGAAAAACAACTCAAAGTTATTTTGCAGATACATGTACTTTTTTATCAATTAAATTAATTGTATAAATTCCTTTTAATGAATTATTTCATATTAATTTGAATTTTACAGTATAAACAGAACTCATTACCTCAAGATGAAAACAAGAAAAGTTTATTCTTAGCAGGTGTGTTACATTTTTTACTCATTTAACATTCTTCTGGGACACCTTTTTTTATTGAATTCTTGAAATGTTTCTATAACTATGTTTATTATTTTAATGTAGGCAAGTTATCAAGTCAGCGCCCTGTTGTGTCCATGCCAGTTATATCTCCAGATGGTTCTGTTTCTTCTCAGGATCATTCTTCTAGTTTTTACACCGCTTCTGGCCATAGTTCATCAGGTCAACGAGAAGTATGTATTTTCAGAATATTTTAATTCAATTTATAATGCAACATTATAGCACTTGAAGCAATTTGAAATTATATGACTTATTTTAAAATTTTAAACATGCTATGAAGCATCTCATTTATGAATCATTGTAGCATAATGCATAAGGAGAATTTGGCTTCTTTAAATAAAAATACAAAAGGATTTGTCTTAGGTTACATTTTATTTGCAACAAGCGGAATGCAAGTTTGCTTTATTATTTATCCATACAAAAAATATCTGAAATAGGAAGGCAAAGTATGAAATAATTAGGATATCTAAATTGAAAGGTATCTAAGATGAAAGGATTAAGATAGGGCCTTGAGCAAAATGAATTAGAAATTGCAATTTTTTGCATGAAATCACAAAAAGAAAGTAAAGCGTGATTTATCCTGCTAATTTTTGCACTTTTTGAATTATTATCACCATATAACATTATTTCTTGTTAAATATTTTTAGGGGGTATAGTATATCTTCACAGATGCTGTGCATTAACCCGCACTGAATGCAATCTATTTATGAAAAAAATATCAGTCAAAAAAACTTCTTCTGTTGGTTTGGTTACTTTTTGTTAATTTTTTTTTCATTTTAAACATATGATTTAATTGCAGTTTTTTTTCAATAGTTTACTACTTTGTTGATTACTTTCAGTGCAATTACTGTAGCTTTGTGAATGTTGTGCATTAACACACACTGTAGACAGTTAAAAAATAATTATTAATCAAGAAAACCTTATATGTTATTTACTTTTTAAAAATGTTCATCTTAGGTGTATGATTTAATTGCAATTATTTTTTTAATTAGTTTGGTATATTATTATAACTTTTTTCTGACAAACATACAAATTAAAAAAAATGTATGTAAGTTTTTTTTTATTTTGATAGAGTTTCTGTAATTTTAAACCACTGTATCTTTAGGTTTTTTATTTTATTTTAAAAGGTAATGTTATTTTATTTTTTGGAATTTTGTCATTTGTCAGTCCAACTTTCCACTTTCCTATTAAATTATTATTATTTTTTTTTCTTAAAAAAAAAGATGTTTTGAAAGCTGTGTGTTTTTTTTTTTTTTTTTTTTTTTTTTTTTTTTTTTTTNTTTTTTTTTTTTATATATAATTATAATTTCTGGTTATTTGATTTTGACTCATTTGTCTTACTGTATTTTAAAAGTAAACAGTGCTGATACAATTGTTATGTTACAATTTATTTTATGTCTAAAAATTTTACAATAGAAGAAAAAGTATGTGATAAAGTTAAAGTCACATCATCATTATTTATTTTCTATTAAAAGAGTATTATGTCATGAAAAATGAAACACATGAATTTCTGTTCTAGGGTACGCTTGATCAGTCGAGTCCTCGAAATTCAATAGCTTCAAACAACAGTTCTTTTAGCTCTCCTCCCAGTCCACAGACTAAAAGAGATGAAGATAAAGAATCATCTAGCAATGAATCTTAAACATTCTTTTTGTGACTCATAAAAACTGTTGCTCAGCATGCCTCGCCTTTTTAATTCATCAAAAACAAGCACACAATACAAAAATGCTTTGTATGTGAGAAAGGGCTATTTTTTCATGGCAAATACAATACTCATTTTCAGATTTGTACAAGTACCTGCTATTCCTTTCAGCGGAACTAACAGTTTTGAGAAGATTGAAATTGGAAAATATATACAATCATTTTTTTTCTGAGTCAGATTAATAATTCATATGAGTGAGATTTTGCATTAATAAATCATTAGCATTCGTATGTAGGTAGAAAAAAAAAAGACTTTGTGAATACACTTTTTCCCTCTATAAGTTCTCCATCTTGCCAGTTTTTTAATGTTAAAAATATTTTATATATGTTATCTTTGTTTCCCAATTTAGATGCAAACTTTCGTGTTGCTTACCTTTTCTACTTAAATTTGTCTGAACTAACACATTACATTAAAAATAAGATTGTTATTAAAAGTATTAGGAAATTGTCAAAACAATAATTTACCTGTCTGTGTGCCTTCCTGAAAGCACAATGCTGTTTAGGTTTTTATACTGGTTGTGTGAAAAATGTATATCTTTGTTTTTCAAAGAAAGTTCTTCCATTGAATATTGCATGAAGCCAGTTTCTGGGTGTCCAGTAAATTTCCACTTATCTTGGTTGAAGACCAACTTTTACTTCTATTTTTAATATACATTTTTATCTTATGTTCAGCAATGAATGATTGTCAGAAGAACTCACCACGAATTCGTTTTCAAGCAGTGTCAAAGAAAAATTTTTAAAATCTAAAGCTGGTTATTAATTCTATTGGATGTCATTCTAGTTGTTGAGCTTAAGCATATATATATATGTATATGTACGTAATTACACAAAGAAAAAGACTTAACAAAAATCACTATTACCTTTAAACTTAAATTAATTAANATGTTTCCTATATATATATATATTTTAATAAAAAATATATATATATTTTAAAATTTAAGGAAAATGATTAAAAACTATAAAAAAACAGAAACAAATGAACTACTATCTCTTTTCAACTTGCATGATTATATCAGCAAAAGTTAGCACTTTCTGATATATTATAATTCAGGATATACTTATGCAAATTATAATTCAGTATTAATTAAACAAAGTTCCACTGTTGTTTTCATTATTAACTTCAATCAAAATAAGGAAGGAAATATATTGGTACACTCTCTATGTTAGTTATATGCCAAGATTAAATCATCAAATCCTTTGTGTTTCATTATTTATGTTTTAAACATATTAGATCAATAACAACTCAGAAAAGTAAGATCTTTGAAAATTCTTTACTTAAAGCATCTAGAACTGTGAGATGCTATCACTAGTCTATATTTTATATACTCTGTAGACGTGTGACACAATGTGTCGTTGCGGGTGTTCAATTGCGCCGTTCCTAGTCTTTGTCGCTGCTTTTCTGTTCTTATGTTTTTTCAGCACAATGTATTTCATATAGAGTTATACTATTAAAGAAATATAATAAGTAGAATCATTTCTTGTTTTGAATAGTTTTTTTTTTCATTATATTTTATGTTTTGTATTTAATTATTGGTTGTTAAGAATTGAATAATATTTTATGTTATCATTGTAATAAAGTATATGTTATTTGTGTATATATAAATAAATATCATTTATTTTAATAGTATTAAAGTATTATTTTAGATTTAATCTTCTAAATTTATCTAAAGTAAAATAAAACTACATTACCGTAACTGGTTATAGTTTTCTTTACTGCAAATTTTCTGAATAGTTTTAAATAAATATTTCCAGTGAAGAAGACAATTTTCGTAATAGAAACTTAATTATTAACTGCCAATCTAAAATGCATAGTGAGGATTCAATTTGCTTCTGAAGAAAGTTGATGACTTTGTTTGCATAAAATTTTTAAAAGTATCTTTTTGGTAAAATAATGAAGTTGAGAGGGTTATGAGGTTTGTTTTCAATTATAGAGTTTTAAGAGTTTTTCTACCAATATATATATATATCTCAAATCCTAATGATTTCTATGTTGAATTTAATTAGGGTTGGTTTAAAGCAATAGCAATACTTTGTGAAAATTTTAATATTGAAGATATAATTGTGTGTTTTATAAACACTATAGTAATTAAAAAAATATGCAAATAATTAATTACAATAAAAAAAAAATTTACATTATTTTATTAATATGTTTTTATGGACTATTAAAATATGAGCACACAGAAGATTAAATGGATACAATTGGCAATAACTATGTAATAAAAAATACTGAAAAATTGTAGGATATATATGTATATACTTTCTCCATTTGCCGTCCGGATGTCAATTTTTTATTCACATTTGATATAGACTTTACACCAGTTTTATATTAAACATACTTTGTTTTCCAATATTTAACTAGTTTAGCCCATTTATGCACATATGGCAATTTTTTTTATATTTTGAATATTATTACTAAACGCTGTTTAAATTAACTGGAAAAATGCTAGAGTGAATCGAGCCTTAAAACTTTTTCATTTGTAAAACTTTGTATTGCTATTCCATATGCTGAAAACTCCAAAATCTAAGATATATTGGAAAGATAAGATGTTCAAGAAAAACAGTATTCTTACAATTGTTTAATTGTAATAATATTTGTTTGTGTTTAAATAATCCAAGTTTTATTTGTCAATTTGTATTTACTAACGTCAAATATTAATAAATTAACAAATAAATATTGTCAATTTTTATTACTTAAGTATTTGCTTAATACACAAACCAATAATTTAATATTTTAACACACCTTTCTTCGCTTTGCTAAATTGCTTTTGAGTCAGACTTAAAAGTAAAGCTGCATTTTTTACTTACATCATTTCACATTAACGCTGCATTTGATAGTATGTAAAAGAAATTAATACTTAATAATAATCTATTTTAAATTTATTTAAAAAAATTATAATTGAGAATCATCTCTAAAAATGAACTATGGGCACTAATGGGTTAAACAAAAGTATGGATTTTTGTATTAAATTCAATATCTGTGCCAGGTCAGAATAACATAGAATAATGTATGTTTGCTGTATGATTATATATTTTTACAATTTTGGATAAATTCTTTCATGCATTTTTGCTAAATACAATGCTCATTCTACAATTGATTTCATTGTAATATTGCTTACAAATCTTTTAAAATTGTTGCTAAGGATTAGGATGCTTTGAATGCACTAATAGGGACAACATGCTAGAATCAAAAAGTTATTTATTTTTGAGTGTCTGTATATAATCTAAGTAGATTTTCTCATATTTCTCTGATAACTTTTAGTTTTATATTAACGTTTTTTTTATACTTTTGTTACACATATATTTAACTTCATCCTGTTTTGTCTTTCATTCTTTTCATCATAGTCTTTTTAAATAAATGAATTATAATTTTGGAATGTATTTTTTCAAAATTTTAATTCATTTTTATGAACATATTTTCCCTATTTTAATTTAGAAACATATTTTGCCTATTAAACTTACCTTTTATTAAGAGGTAATAATAATGAAAAAAACATTCTGTGCAGTAATTGGCAATGCTTTTTCAACTTGTGGGTTGCATATTAATTTTTGGAATGTGCCAGCTTATGCCTTTTAAATTTCACATTTTTATATTATTACTCTCTGATTTTAAGCATAACTAATCCATACTTATTCTTTGGTTACCTTAATAAAATAGCTAATCATTGTAATTGTTTTTTTAATTATAGGTCATGTTTTTTTTTTTTTTCCTATTCAGATTGAGTGATTTATATTAACCCACACTATTTAATTCTTTCATTTTTAAGTTTTCACCTGTGAAACTGAAAATGTTTTGTCCTTAACCCTCTGATGCAGATAGAACACTGGTGTTCCTTTTATAAATTTTATAATCAACTTGCAATCAAAAATATATTTTGGTATTTTTTAATTATAAAAATGCAGTCTAATTGTTACTGAAAATTATTGGAATTATATTTGTACTAAAATATAAAATCCTAAAAAAGTTGTTTAAAAAAATTATTTTTTCATTGATATTAAAAAATTTATCAATAATTGATTTTGGAATTATATTTACACTAATATATAAAATCCAAAAAAAGTAGTTCAAAAAATTATTTTTCCATTGATATTCAAAAATTTATCAATAATTGATTTTGTAAATTGAAGAAATTTCAATGATGAATAACTGTTTCTTTTAGATCTAAATAAGTGCAGATTTGAAAATTACTATTTGGAAGTGAGTTGTGCTTGAAATGCTGTGACAGAAAAAGTTCCTAGTGTTTCATGTACTATTTCATGACCATAAATTATTAAAATGAAAAATATATTTAATAAAAATTCTATGTCAAAGGGTTAAAATGCTTATTCAAATTAAACACTAATTTTTTTCCTTTCTTTCTAATGGTGAATGATTATTATATATGCACCGTTTGTGGTGCTTTTCCGTTGTTTCAATACTTCTTTCTTTCTTTATTTTTTTAAATAAAAATATGTAGAAATGTGATAAGCATTTACCCATTTAACTTACACCCCAAAATAGTTTGTTTGGCCTTTTGTCAATCACAAATTATTGACATTTGTTGCCAGTTAAGTTTATATTCCTAAATAAATTAACCTTTTTCAATTTTGTTAATTATAATTTTTTATTATTTAGTTCCCGTCCATTGACTTGCAGCTTTTAACAGCCTTTTAAATTCTGAAGTCGGTTACATCTAGTAAAAAAAATATTTTTAGCCAAAATTGATTTTTGATCTGCAAAGTTGTTCAGTTTGAGGGAAAATATGTTATGATATGTTTATATCATGATTTTTCAAGATTATTTTGTTTCTAATTAATTTGAAAAACATGTATAGTTTTTCAAAATAGTGTTATTAATAGTCTCTTTTCTTCAGCATTGTTAAACCCAAACGTCTAAAAAAAATTCTCCCATATTCTAGTAAAATTACATTTATTTCTCAAGGCCCATAGTGTTAACAATTTATTTTAAAACAATAAAATATTTTTCAATATGAAAGCTAGATTTTAGTTTTTTTT